TTGCGGGTTTTGGGGTTTTGGGGTTTTGGGGCGTGCACCGCAATGTGTTCCAAGTGCCAAGATGCTGCAGAGCCTTGTAGGGTTGTCTTCTGTATAAGGTTCAGCTCCGAAAGTATCCACACCGCAACACTTTACTGCAGAAAACTGACACACAAGTTTACAAACATGTCGCGGTTGGACAGGAAATATCACTTCTTCTTCGATGTTTTGCTGCCGTGTCTACGGAAGTCCGGAGACAGGCCGACCAAACCCTAAACCCTACAAGCTCTACATCCAACTTCGCTCTCTTTTGTCCAGAGCTGGTGCCCGGGGATTGAGGGTCCTAATTTTATTGCCTGGGTTTCGATGACTCTTCTTGGAGGCAACAACGGCCACAGTCACCCTGACTGGGCAAGGTCTATAGAGCAACGAGTTGATCGGGGGTGCTTACTAGTTTGCAGGCCGAACACATGCATTACGCAACCGTACTGCTGTAGACTGCACTCTTCCCAAAGTCTTGCAGCTTTCCTGACCACCTGCCGTAGGGACAAGTGCTACCGTGATACGTTGTTCTGGGTTCAAGATGGGAGCAGGGAGAGAGATTTTGCCTGGGCCACATCATGTTGCATGCACACATGTCAGCGTTGCCGGGTGCTTCGTTCGAGATACGCTCCTCAGCTCGAAGTCCATGTAAGTTCTTGGACCCTCCCTCATCTTGAACAGGCCGACATGGAAGCACATTGGCGAGAAATTGCACAGAAGGCACGCTTGGCTTGGCATGCTTGCACTTAGATCTGGGTGGATCGACCGCTGAGTGTATTCTGCGAAACACCTGAAATCTCAAAGGCAACGCAAGCCGTTGTTACCCAAAAACCCTAGTACAAGTTGCTATAAATTCTACAAGGCTGAGGAGTGGATCTGAGCACTGCAGGCTTCGGGACCTAGGGATACTTCACTGATACACACCTGAGGAGCGGGCCTGCAGAGCCCTCACCGTTCATGCCGGATCATTGCGCATCATTCGTCACGCATGACCTCCTTCCTCCAGCATAAATGTACAGCTTGCTTGGGTGTCCAAGACAGCAAGTCAAGCGCCATTTCCAATCTGCCCAATTCATCACTCAATCCGTACCTCCAACCTCTCCTCCACCTCCACCATCGTCGGGTACGTATTCTTGATTGGCCCAACTTAGAGCACCAGGTGCACAAGCGCCAGCTGATGGGCTTTCCGTTCATTGCACGGGCTGTCGCCGAGGAAAGATCGCCGCTTTGCCGCCGACAGAAATGGAGCTTGGTGTAAATACCGGAGGTCAACTCGCTCTTTCCCGAATCCCTCCTTAATGCACGCTTTGGAACAGTTTTTGTTTCTTTAGGTTGCTGATTATGTCCTGCCGCTGTGCTTGCAGGTTGCTTCTGGGATACGGTCGGTCAAAGTTTTGGGATGGACCCGAATCACCCGAGATGACAGATCCAGTGTTTCTTCGCCCTGCAGCTGATATATGGCTGAAAAAGCACAGATTGTGAGGTCCCATGCGTTGCTCGGAGACAAGTTCCAGGCAGCCCCATTGGACAGTCCGGGGAGGGCGTGACAGGGCTTCGCGGTGCTCGCAGGCGTGTATATTACAACAAGAGAGGACACCAATTTAGCCCCTGCCCATGAGAAGATGTGAAGATATGTGAAGGCACCACTTGACTTACATCCTGTTATTGCTGCATGTTGCAAGGCCCTTTGGGATTCCCAGCGGCGACGGTTTCTTGGTGGCGTGGCCTTGTTGCTGACGGCCGCAGCCGGGCGGCGGAACCATGCGCGGACAGTGGCACTCTGGCTCTGACGTGATGGATGTTGTAGAATAGTATAACGACGTATATGTATAGGTCCCCTAGAGTTCGGGTGGGGCCTATCGGGCGAAGACTGCAGACTGTATTCTCATGTCTCACAGCATTCTGAGGGGGTATTCCGGGGAAGTTATTGGCGGCGAGGTGCAGCTTCAGCAGGCGAAGGCTCCATTTCATTTTCACTCCTAGCCGAGGTCCTCGCAGTGGACGTGTCCTCGAGGAAGAGCAAGGTCTGGATAAACGTTGCCCTTGTGCTTGTATCTTGGACCCGTGCCACGTGCCCTCCATGTTTTGTGATTGGGACACCTCAGGAGTAGGTCTGCGAGCGTAGACTTTTTCTTGGCTTGTGGACGAAGCTAGGAAGCCGCTGTGAAGGCCTGTGAAGCCAGTTGAAGCCCTTCGACGTCCTAAAGACTAAATCAAGCCTGAATACCTTGCCTTGAAGTCTGCAAGCTTAAAGCGCCCACACTCCTCCTAGCATGCGCGACTTCGGGGTTTCATTGCTTGTGCCCTTTAGGGAGTCATCTCTCATAGAGGCCTGCGCCCGGCTCGTGTCCGGGGTAGGAACCTTTTCAGTGCCCAACTTCAGATGGCTGGATTGTGCACGTTGCGGCTCTGCCAAAACTTTGCTGAGTGAGGGGGCGCGGTGGTCGGTCCGAAGATGTCTTGCGTAAATCCGAGTGCAACGTCCGGGTATGAGTGACAAGCTTCTGTTCAAGGTCAAGCACTGGCCCCAACCGCCATGGAATTTTTTATGCCTTGGCCTCGCGACTCCCGAACAGCCCTGTCATCCCGACCCATTCTTTCCTTGGAAGGCCTGGGCTTGGGGGAGCCTCCGCCAAGCCTGCTTCGGAGGCCTTGAACTAAAGGGTGGGCGCTTGAGGTCTCTTCAGGAGGACTTGCAGTTTGAGGGCGGCTCTGTGTTCGCTTTGCTGACAAGTCCGGTGCGACACTCGCGACTGTTGTTGCCCCTGGAGAATGTTCCCCCCCACATGGTGTTTCATTCACACAGTCTTCCTTTGAATGGGGCCTAGGTCGGGGCTGCAAAGGGCGGAAGCCGAATCTGATCTTGACCTTAATCACACTATAGTTACATCATGTTGCAGCTTCCATCTTCCAAGGGCAGAACTTGGCCCCAGATCCTTTTAAATGGGATGCCAGGCCTTCGCTCTGCCGAGTTCGGACGAAACACGCAGGCAGCAAATCTAATTTCAGGAAGGGCTTCGGAAGGGCTTACAGACCCTACGACCCTACGAACTGCTTCAGAGTTTCACCTCATGTGGCCCGCAACCATCGTGTTGAGGCTTTCGGTCATCTTTGCAGGCTTTTGGGCCAGTTTTTGGCTATTTCAAAGGTGAGGAAGGTACGATGTAGTCTAGCTCGTCATCTCCTGCAATGTTGTGGCGTGCAGTGTAGATACTTGGACATTGCTGGCCGAAGTGCCATTGTTGCACGGGGAGCGAGTTTAGCTAGAACCGCAGCTGGATGGCTTATAGATATTGTGGGATGAATCATGAACTGTAGAAGAGCGGGGCTTCGGTGTGCTGCAGCATGACAGGACTTCGCAAAGTACTGTTGTCTCGACCTGCCGTGGTTTTGCAGAGGCCGTTCTCGCCTCACGACAGCGGCGGTTGCGGCGCGCGTTGTGCGCTTGGAGTATTGTGAAGGCCCGATCCTCCCGAGCCGGGGGAAAAATCACAGAAGCGGCCTCAGTAGCGTAGCCTGAACCCTATACTATGTAAACCCCAACCTTCGACCCTGGGAGGCGCGGCCCCGTCGCCTGGCGGCACCCCTCCGCGCGGCCACACAGCGGCCAGCACTGTGGGCGCTGAGGTGGGGCGCTGGGTGTGGGGAGCTTTACGCGGAGGGAGGTGGAGCCTTTCAGCATTGACCCTCCCAGCGCACCACTCAATTCGACAGCCGGCCGATTACCCAGGTCCTTGATTGTGATCAACAGCATAGTTCGCCTAGTATTAAACGGTGACTGCCGGAGCGCGTTTTGGGGCCACGGCGTGGTTTGCATTAGGGTGTATTATTGGTGGGAAGGGATAGTACACAAAAGTAAAACAAAATGATTTTCTGCATCATCGAAGCCAAAGCAGCCGCTGAACATCGGAGACATTCTCAGCCTTAGGCATTGGGCGCCAGAGTCCTGGGCCCAACTTCAAAGCCCCCAAACCTACATTGAGGACTTTTTCGTGCTTCAGGCGTTTCATGATTTTGTGGGCTCGGGTTGACTTCTTGGCTGCAGGCGCCTCGCCGCAAATGCCTTGGAACTGCGTCGCGCTGACTTGTTGTGGGAAGGGGGGAGGGCCAAATCAGGTTGTTCAGCCATTCATCCTAAACCCTACGCCACTCAAAGACGCAGCCCAGCGCCCAGCCCGCCTCTGGAAGCTGAAGCGACCATTCTAACATTTGGGGTGGAGGGCATGGAGAGAAGCACAGGCCACTGTCTTCCTATTTTATTCTGTGAGCTGATTGAAAACAGCTCACAGCATAAAGACGTCATTGTCTTAAAGCAGCTCACAGCATCAACTCATCAATCTCGATCTTTCTCGCTGAATGAAGGCTGCGAGCAGCGACTGGGAAGAGCCGTGGCGACGCAGGCAAAGCATAGCTTCGTATTGATAGCAGGCTGATCTAGAACTAGGACCACCGTCGCCGTCCTGTGACCCCACTTCTTTGCCATTTACCGATGTTTTCTTTGAATCGTCCTTGGGCCTTAGCCACAGGAAAAGCCTGACATGCTAGAGCCTGAAAGGTGAAATGGGTAAACTTAGCCATGGCTGACTTGTTGAATGTGGTCTGGATAGTCTGGATGTGTCTGGACTGTCTGGATGTCAGCTGACTGGTGTTCGAGGCCCAGGCGATCCAAAGTGAAAGCCGGCTGGCCATTGAGTCCGTCCGCCAGCAGCTGGAGGCTGTGTCGATGCGTCTCTTTGGACAGGTCATACAGTGTCATACAGGTCCCCTCTCCTTAGCTCTTCTTCTTTAACCTTTTTTGCGCTTCTGCCATGCCAGGAGGACCTGTGAGCCACCATCAGCATGATCATGAATGGGAGATTTGCGCAGTTCTCTAAGGTTTTGGTCCCTTTTAGGGCTTCGGTCTGAATACGGTGCCTTCTATTTGGGGTAATCTAGAGAACTCATCTCGAATCACTCTGGCTGCATCTGCCACTTGAGGCATGGATATTTGTTTGGGGCCGTACTCTTGGCAGGCACGAGTTGAGGCCGCACAGGCCGAACGGGAGGCACGCGCTTTGATTTCGCGACTCTTCGCATCCATTGCAGATCATTGCAGCTTGCTGTGGCTAGGTCAATTTGGGGTCACACTGTTTGCCAATGGACGTTGTGCCCAGCGTCAATCCACCACATCTCAACTGGGCCTAGAAACTCTTCGACTCTTCACCCTCGTAGAATCCCAAAGCCTCGAACATCTTGACAATCTGGCAGAAACTCCTGACGAGCTCCGCTCTGGGACTGGCAAGAGAGGTGAAGTGCCCGGGCCGAGACACTTTGGGTGCCATAGGTAGGCGATCGGCAAATGGGTTTGGGGAGGTTAGGTTTGGACTTGTGGCATATGACCTGCACTCTGTAGATTTTTGAAGTCTCCATATGCAAACAACCTTTATAAATTGATTTCTAAAGGCCCGGAGCTCCACACAAAGGGGCCTTGCTACAAAGCACCCCATCACTCTCACCCTTCTCCCGACCCCCCCCCCCCCCCTCCAAGGCTGATCACGGCCCAAGCGGACCGGCAGCTCCTGGCCTCCGCGTGGGGAGTCTGGCAACTGAAGCGACGCCAGGCACTCTTGGCTCCGCTTTGCTTCGCGGGGTTTCAAGGGGGAGCTCCTGGACCTGCATTGAAACTCTACCAGGGTTTGCTTACTTTAGAAGCGTGGGGACCTGTGATGGGATGAGGGCTTTAGCATTTCTGGGCGGGCCAGCGGAGGCCCTCATGACTGGTGTTGAGAGGGTTCACAGGCTGGACACGGCTTTCTCAGACCCGAATCATGTTCGGGCCATGAACTGCTGCAGCGCGCGTTTCCTGAGGCGGCCTTGGATGGGCCAACTCATTGAAGCCCCTGTTCGCTCCCTAAAAGCAAGCGTCCCGAGTGCATCAAGAACTGCACTAGAACTGCTCCTTGCTCAATCCCCAAGAAGGCAGCCGCTGCCTTGCGCGTAGGGCAGCTGATCCTCTCCCGGCTGCAGAGGCGTTCCCGCACCCTGAGTCACTGAACTTGAAACTCTGAATTTTCCCAATTTGCTGACCGGCCTCAATGCCAGGTTTCCAGGGTCTTGGATTCGGGACTCTTTTAGAGCTTCTGGGACCAACAAATGGCTTCGAGCCGCTGGGATCTCAAGAGCTGCTTACAGTCGCCGAGTCACGGAGCTGACCGCCCTTGCCAGGAAGCACCTGCATAGCTGGCGGCGTGTGGCCAACTTGGAGGTTACATCCTACCTGGAGGTCCTTGGCAGTGAGCAAGGTTTGCGGAATTGTTGGGGTGTTCAGGTTAGGGTCAGGGTTGTTATTGGAAGAGGACCCTTATGGATTGATAAGTGTATACTATTGTAGACTGAATTGGCTTGGGGCGTGTCCGGCATCATCTGCGCGGTCCTTTGAGCAACTCGCGTGTCTCCTCTTCGAGAGCAGGGAAGGGCACCGTTGGAGGCTGCTCTGCATTTATGCTCGATTGTGATCCTGCAGGCTTCGAAAGCCTGACGAGTCTCGTCTCTAAACCTCACCTGAAATCCCGGTTCCTGGAAACATGACCCTTACAAGTAAAGAACTGCAAACATGACTTTACAGTGGGCAACCACCCTGTTGAGGATGCCGCCCCCTTAGCACTGTAGCCCTAACGTCACCCTGAACTCACGACACCTCAGTGGACCTCAGTGGAGAGGTCCAGATCGACTGTTTCGACACCTTCACCGCGAAAAGGACGGCGCTCTGCTGGCGAGTGCTGCGGCGCTGCAGCGACTCCTGGGCAGAGTCCGCTGAGGACGTCGGGGCGTTTTGTTCCGGTTCCCAGGGCCTTGAGCCTTTACGAAAACAACGAAGCCTATACGTTTCCCATGCAAGTATGCTGGGCCCTGTACCCTCTCGAACTAGGTGGATAGGGGTGGTTACCCCTGGCCCTGCCTATTTCAAGGACTCTTCCGGTGAGGGTGGGTCTGGAAATGGCATTGTATCCAGAATTCTTCACTTTCGCCGGGCACAGGCCAGCACGCCAAAACACACAGCATGGCACGGCACCACAAACAATGCAGCCACCGAGGTGATCAAGCGCCAGCTTGAATAGAGGTCAATCCCGCAAGTATGGCGAAATGACACATCTCTTCCCACGAGTCTCGAAATCCCAAAAAATAAGATCCCAATCTCGTTACATAGGCCAAACTGTTTGGCTGTTTACCAACCACTTCAAGTGAGCCTGGCGCAAAATCTTCTGGAGTGCCAACACAACAAGCCCTTCCACATTTGCCCTTCCGCGCATAGACCCGTTCGTAACCGCTTTCTTTGCTGAACGATGTTTCAGTGAAGGTAGGGATTCAAGTTTGGAGACCCAGACGCTCCCACAATTTGAGCCGCAATGCAAGAAAACGTCGCAGGCCCAGCTCAGCGCCTGCAAGACGACCGCAACTAGCTCACTGCCCGCCTTACAGAAACCTGAGCAACAACCGAAGCAGATTGCTAGTGCGCGCCCCCAGGAAACAAGACAAAATGCAAGAGAGCAAAAAGGTCTCCGAAGATTCGTCTTCTTTTCGCTGCGGTTGGTCGCACTTAGGGCTTCGGGGCTCTGCAGCTCCAAAATCCGAAAGCACAGCCTGGAAGGACCTAAGTTTGCTCGGCATCCTCGCTGCTTGGTATCGACAGGCCCGGGGCGTCGGGGGCTTCAGGCTGCAAGTATGAAACATATAGTAGATGCGCCCTGGGTTGTTGCATGTTGCACTTTGTTCTTTAGCAGGTTAAGGTTGTTTGGACCTCGCGGTTTGGAGTCTCCCGGCGTTTCCCCAATCCGGCACATTCTGGGAGAGCGCCCCAAACTCTTGGAGCCTTGAAGCCCGAATTTGTTCCATAAAGCCCATGGAACCCACATCAGGTTGCATGATGGTCTCCGTAAACACTTTTGAGCACGACATAATAGGCGATAGAGGCTGATAGAGGCCCAGATTTTTGGATTGAGGGGTCTGCGGGAAGCGCAGCGTGTTCAATGAGCTTCTGGATCACAACAGCTCGTCCCAAGCATTTTTGCGCCGCACGCATCGGCCGATACCTAGGACCTAACAGGGGCGCGCAGGTTCGGGGATCGCGAAGTCGAAGTGGAACTGGTTTCAGACAGGTCCGGGGGCGAAGAGCTGACACAGCTCATCGAGAGACGGTTCTTGAGCACAAGCTCCAACAGATGGTTCCTCCACGGCCTTTGTCGATCCTGCCAATCATGAAGTCTTGCTCGCGGTGTAGGAGACGGAGCGCCAAATAGCAGGGTACGGCTGGTGGTTTCTGCGCAAAAGCAACCAGCAAGGGCGATGATAGTGAACGTCAGTTGGGGTGGCAGTGCCACCGTGCATGGAGTTTTCATAAAGCCTCCGAAGCCTAGGGCCGACAAAGGGCATGTCTGGATATTGGATTGGGGTGGGTGCAAGGTATTTCTGGACATGTGACAAATTTGCGAGCGATTCAGGCTGCAAGGCGTTGGGTTTGTTGCTTGCTGCATGTTGTGCTGTGGAGTTCGGCTTTGCCGATAAGAGAGCACCCAGGACTTATCGTAAGTTATGCAGCATGAAAAGAACACCTTACAATTACAATAGTCAAGCGCATCAGATTCAAGGGAGACCCGCCCTCAACATCCCTCAACCCTCGAACGCTCGAGTCACTCGAGCCCTGTAAGTCTGAAGGTCCCAGACATGAAGACCCACTTTGCAGCCCCACAGAGCCTTTTTGTCCTCGAATTTTCCTCCCGTGTTGCTCTTGTTTTCTGACCGGGGCATGCCGGGCAGGTCCAAACGTCAAGGCTGCGAGTTGCCCGGCGCAAGGCAGCGTGCGAGAAGCTGCGCAGCACAGGCGCTGTGGCCCCAAGTGGTTATGGACGGGCCGCTTCATGCGGGAAGTAAAAAATGAGGGTGAATTTAAGGCACTATAAGGCGTTCTACGGCTTAGAAGGGTTCAGGGGATGTTGAGGAGGCCAGGGCTCCTCACAGCTTTTAGGTCCTGTGCAATCATTTCTTTGTCATCAAAGCTTCAACAGGCACCCGAGAGCATGATGAGCCCTAAGCAATGATGTGGATTGGGCAGATTTGTTCGCGCTCAGGGTCAAGACAGAGCAGTGATTAGGAGTCAGGTTTTGACCCTGCGGAGCGGATTGCAAGACTCCTCGCAGGGCTTCAACTGCTTCGACGGCAGTTCTGGCATCCCTGGCGTATGGGGCAGGCCATCATTTGAGTCTTGTCTCCGGGCGTTTTACTGAAAGCCTCGAAACCCAAGGTTCCTGGGTAATCAGAAAGAAAGATTCCCCTCCCCCGCGTTAAGGGCCGAGGGCTTGCAGCATTCCTCAGCTGTGATTTTGTAAATGTGCAGCTGAGATTCTAGACTTCTTCAAACATGCACGCGGGTTGTGGACGGCCATCCTGATCAATGTGACTTCGGGTGTGCGTGTGTGCGTACTTTCCATCGTTTCTAAGTCTACCTCCAGCTGAACTCCCCCAATCCTCGTACTTGCAAGATCCTATAGGCCTTGCTGTAGCCCTAGCTTTATCGTAATACGAGATTAAAAGTAGCTCTTAAGTCTTAAGTTCAGATGCGATCACCAATCTTCATCAGGAGGCGGGCCAGCGGTCGCTCATGTCGGCCATGCGGCAGGCGTTCTTTTTCGTTGATGTCAACTTCTTTATTGTCCTTAAGTTGTTGCAGAGACTCGTTGCAGTTGTGAGGAGGCCTGCATGAGGTGTTTGACGCATTTGCCTGCATTACATGCCACTTCCAGGTCCTCCACCATGGCTAAACAGTACTAAACACCATCCAATGCTCTAAGCTTCAAGCCCGAAAAGCCGGGTTGTGAAGCAGGTGGAAGAGGCTCGTGCCCGTGAGGAGACCAGCTGCTGTTGGAGCAATTCTGGTTTTTTCAGGTTTACACAGCGATACCTCAACACCATCGCAGGTCTTCAAGGGCTCTCCAAGACATGTGAGCCAAATCTCTTCAGAACCTGTTTGTACAAAGCTGTCTGTTTGTCATAGTCGTGTGGAGCTGCAAGGAGCTGGATCAATTGAAGGAAGCTTTAGAGCAGACGCGCCAACAGGCGCACTGCGGCTCAGGGTTCTTAGGGCGCCCTTGGGGCATTCTTCGGGTCGAAGCGCACGCATCGCACGCCTGTCAAGATCGCATTGTCTTGCGATCGTCGCGTGGGGGGCCTCTGTTCGGTAACGACTCTGTGGCAGTCAGCAGGTTTTTGATGCGAAGTCAGATCATGGACAAGAAACGACACGACGACGGTCAATTGCGAGGATCGAGTCCCGCACCCGACCTCCTACATATTCTGTTTAACCAAACAAGTTTGAGTCAGACAAATATCTATCAATATCAGCTATTGGAAAAGATTGAATAAATTGACTTATCTTGTGAAAGCTGTCGGAACACAAATAGGTGGTGAGCATGTCAATATGTTTTGTGATGCCACTAGTGTTTAACGAGATGACTATCTCAAATTCACGAAAATATGTAAACATGCATACGACTACACCTACACCCATTTAAATGTGAGCAGTTGGGAGGAAGGACGGTTACATGAATTGTGCCCACACCCACCAACCCCCACGCGCTTGATCCCTTCATGCCATTGTATGCCCGAGCCCAGCGACTGCCTTTTCGACAATGAAAAAGATGCCCGAACGCGGTTTTCCATGCTTTTCCCCGTTGCTCAACCGTCAGAGTCCCAGAGCCCTTCGCTGCTCAAAAAAGTGCTCCCAAAGAGCCCCGTGTGCCAATTGCAGGTCCAGGTTTCTGGCTCCTTTACACACTTCGTCCTTTCTGGTTGGGGCGATAGACTTCCAGGACTAGGAGCGTGGGTTTTATGGACTGGGCTTCGGAGTGGTAGGCCCTCCAAACCCGTCCGAGGAGCTATTTTGAATGCAGCCAGACATCCATCCCCTGAAAAGCAGAGCAAAGAGCCAGAAGCATTCGCACGTCCGCATGAACACCCCCGCCGCCCCCCCAAACTCCAATTGGGAGGGCCGTTCCTTAAGTTCCCGCAAGTGTCCAACATAGTATGTCGTTTGTAGCGCATCACCTGCCGCGGCATCCCCAGATGACCCAAGTGGTACCTGGAATCCGACCAGAGGTAAATGGTTTGGAGTAGTCTGAGGGAACCTGTACTGTGCGCCTTTGCCCTTGAACCCTAGAGGCGGCGGATCAACGAGATACTCTTGCATCCGAGTTCTGCGGCTTGCTTCAACCGACATGGGGGGGCCACGATAATCAGGGTTTGGAACCTGGGCAATCGACGCGTTCACGGAGAAGCGAGCTCGTTTGAGCTTGCAATGTTCAGCTTGCACTGCGGACGTTGGCCACATGATCATTTCCCGACGTGCCAACCTCCCCGGGTTGAGGCTGAACGTCAGCCTCAGCCCTATAATAAGCTGTCATGGCCCTGTTGGCAACTTCATACCAAGGTGCACTCCGTACCAGCCAGCGAGCCCTGGAAGATGCGAGCGACTTCGCCCAGCCTTGGCGGATTGGTCTTGGTATCGATTTTGAATCCGGAAGGTAGAAGTTCCCTATAGGGATCCACTCAAGACACGACCTGCGCCTTTACCGCCCAGGCAAAGCAACAGCTCAGAGCGCCTTGGCGCGAGCCTGGCGAAGTTGGGCCTACAGCCTGCGATCGCAGGCCCTGCAGGACGCGCCCGGGTTTAGTGAGTTCGGACGTTTAGCGGAGGCTTGGGGGTTCAGATGTTTGTCGATGCGCACAGGGCATCTGTAGGGCTGCGAAAGCTGGCCGTAGAGCCTCAGAAATCGCATGTTTCGTTTGCCTGGTGCTGAGGAGGGCCTATCAGCTCAAGCTTGGGGGTATAGCTTTGCAGATTAAGGGCTATTAAGGGTCTTGGGCCTGTGTACAGCGACCTTGGAAAGGAACTCCTGCGGTCCCTACACCGAGCTCACCTGTCTCTCCAGCATAGCAAGGCCTGGCTGAGGGCTTTTGGGGGTTCAGAGTCCAGGCCGATGTTGGGATTTGTGGCTGGCTTCTACCACCATCAAGCACCTGGTCCCATTGAGCGACGATTTTTGTCCGACCTGTTCTTTAGGCGCTTTGGTGGGCCTGGCAGCGCGTCTCCACGACTTTGGCGGTGACGCGGCCCTTGAAAGCGCGAGTAGGCGGGAGACGGTCTAAGGTTCTTGGACGCAGGGGTTCATAAAATTGATAGCCTCGGATGACTCGGCTTCGCCATGCGTAGTTGACAGCCTCGATAGCCTCTTTTTGGAATGTCTTCAATAGAGTCTAGAGATACAATGTCCGCATCCTGAGACTCGGGGCACTCTGCCTTCCAGGCAAAAGGTTGCCGAAGTAGCATCTTTGAAGCATAGTGAGTATTGCTATCCGGCTTTCACGTGCTTTCGAAGTCTCTCTGCAGAGGCCTTGCTGGGGCCGTCATGGCCCGGATGCGCAGCCGAACAGAAACTGCTGTGGAGTTAGCCAGCCCAGGCCTCAGAGCCAAGCCAGCCTTATCGTAACAAAACAGGGTGATTGTTGGGGTTTTTGCTTTGGTGGCCATCCTCGTTGGTTTTTTGGGGCTGCGAGTGCAGTGGAGGCTTCAAAGGGTGCGGGGGATGGGCTTCAAAGTGTTTGGTCTTTTTATGGTCTTTGTGTTTGTTGTTGTCAGCTTTCCTGGTTCCAGGTGCGTTGCTACGGCGAGGTTCACGGGGCACGAATTGCGAGAAGTGAGCGAAAAACCCTTGAAACCAAGGGCAACGGCGGCCCTTGGCGAGACTGCTGGCCTTCGCTGCTGCGCTCCGGGCGGCTTTTTGCCGCAAGCTGGCGCACGAAGCCACGCGATGCCTGCGCTGCTCGGCTCGGATTTCTCCGACCTGCCTGAGGCACACTCTGGGACTCGTTGGTGCCCTCAGACCTTCCGGCCCTCGCCTTGAAGGTTGTGGCCTGCAGTAGGCACCTGAAGCCCATACAACATAAAGTTAATTAAGAGTCGTTAAGCTTGCAAAGCGGAGCACCCCAGGCATCGTCAGCGCAGGAAGGCGCGCTCTGCAGCGCCTCGGGACGGTGCTGCCGCGTGCGGCGCGCCGTGAGGCCATGCATAGTGTACAAAATCACAGCACATTCAATACATACTTTTGTCATACTCCAATCCCTGTTTCGACCTGGGACACAAACCCCTCCCGCAGAGGCTATTCGCCGATGGCGATTGACTGCTGCCTGCCGCCGGTCGCTGGACTGGCAGCGCGAGAGGTTTGCAGCGACCTGGTGCAGGTTTAAGCAGAGGTGATCATAAGCTCTTGAAGCCCTGCACCCTCAATAAATTCTGGTCTCCTTGTTTTGTTCAGCTTTGAGAACCCAAAGGCTTCACATGGATGTAGAATTTGCTTCTGAAAGCCAGCTACAGGAGGTCCTACCCAAAGATTGGAAGTCACATTCTTAGCATTGAGAAAGTCACCACTCCAGAAGGACCTTGTTGGATGTGGTGTTGGGATTTTCTACTCTGTGAGATTCTTTGCTTGGTGCTCTGCATGGGCACTCAAGGGTTGTTGGGGGATTCTTTGGGGCCGCTCCAAGGATACTCTGCGGGATGCTTTGCAGAATTTTCTGGGTTCTTTAAGGAAAGAGAGGGACGCAAGCAGTGAGCACAGGAGACCCGAGCGAGGAAAACACATAATGAGTGAATCAACATCTAAAGAATCTATCTTCACAAGGAAAGCTCAAATGTTTGGGTGCGTTTAACACACTATAGTGCGGGTCGAAATCATAATGGGGGGGGAGCCTCTTCTGGATCTCTGGATGACTCTCTTGCGATGGCTCAAAAGCAGCGTGATGCTGTTTGAACCAGCTGAGGCACTGTCTTTGATTGCCTCTGATCAAGTAGCGGCAGAAAGAATTTTCACTTTCAGCACCCATTTGTTGATTAGGCCCCGGTCCCAGGTAGGATATCAGGCTCCGGATGGCCCAACATATTGGAAGCCGTGCATGAAACAAGCTTTTGGGCCAAAGTCGCGGCCGAAAAGTTTTTTCACTATAAGCACCCTCCTTCAAAAGAAATCATCAGTCGAGAGTGGTGCAAAAATGAGGTGCAACATGTGGTGGGGATGTTCGCAGTACTTCGGAATACGGTCATTTAGGGTCAAGGTTGAGGGATGTTCAGGATGCGAACCCTTTTTGTTGACGACGCTGGCCCGTGCTTGGCGCAACAGCCCGACGCATTCTGCTCGATAGGGACATATGCCACCATTGGAAGCTATGCCGATCTCGAGATTTGTAGAGTCCGGGGGTCGACGGGTGTGGCCGAGGACACAGACATGGCCCAGCGTGCGGAAGCTGCACACGTGTTCTGGACCTGCGTGGTTGGGAATCTTGGAGTCAGTTGTAAGTTACTGGCTCTTAAGGAAGCCCGCCTGAGAACAAAAGCCCGGAAACCCTCTAACCCTGATTGACCTTGAGCCATATGAACACTGTACACATCTGACATCTGGACACCCTCAAGTTCAACCCAGGAAAGGCCGTGTCTCCATGCAGTGGGCCTTCGGTCGCTTGGCGGGGGCTGCTCGACGCCCGGCTCTCGATGGCTCCCGAAGCTCTCTGGTCGGGTCTCTAGGCTTTTCGGATTTCAGGTCCATGGGATTCATGAAGCGCAGGTAGCAAGGGCCAAAAGGGGTACACAATTTGATTGGCCTTAGCTTGTGGTTCACTTGTAGTTTAATCGGCTTTGTCTGTGGGTTAGACCTTTTCTAGAAGCCTCTAACCGTTAGAGGCTTCTAGAAAAATTGCAGGTCACAGAGAGCGTCCGGTGAAAGAAAACAAAAAGCCAGTTGGAGCGGCTTCAACCCCAGCCCTAGACGGATATGCTTTACTGTTCCACGTTTGGAGTTTGGGCTTTTGCACCAGACGGTGCCTGGCCAATGGCATCATTCTCAAGCCAAGCAGCCCCCCAACCTTCCTAAATGACTCAGGGCTTGGGTGGGGGCAGAACCCTCAATCGTATACAGCCTTTGCCAGGCTGTGTCTCACAGATAACGCCTAATGTCCTGAAACAAGAGATTTTGGGCCCAGGACGCCAGCTGGTGGGTCGCTCCGTCGCCATCCATGCCCCGAGGATGAACTGAATACAGGTGCTCGAAAACCTGTGCTCCACGGAAAGGCATGATTCTTGTTGTTGTCGCCAAAAGGAGATCAAGACGACCGCAAAACAGCGGCTGTAAGGATGAGCGCGTGTGCTTCGTGATGGGCTTGACTTGGGTTGGGTAGGATGCTGAGCCAAACAATGCAAAACATGCATTCCTCAAGCAGAAGATCAGCCTATCGAAGGCCGCAAGAAGACGCAATAAAATCAGGCGGTGTCGTTGTGGTGTTGTTTTGAGGGAACTGAAGGCCCCAACCCAGAGACACCCCACTCTGCGCGAACTCGGAAGCTTCCCAAGGCTTTCCTGAAGCTTTTGGCCCGCGCAGCAGCCCGGGCGCTGCGAGGTCACCGTGTTGTTGGCAAAGCTATGGCTTGAGGGTGTGAATATGTGTTAATTGCAAACGCTTGCGCGCGCCGCCTCGGCAGCCGGGGAGGGGAAAGAGGGTTTTGAGGCCTCCCTGTAGGAGCCGCTGACAGGCGGGACCCTCCACGGAATCGGTTTGCAGCTGCTCCAAGCGATCGGGGAGGGGGGGGTCCCACAGAGCCGGGGGGTGTGGGAGGGGGAAGGAGACCGGATCCAGGTCTGCTTGTTCCAGACGCTTCTCGGCAAATGTCAAAGGTTTGCTTTGGGCTTGAGGTTACGGACCCTCTTTGCAGGTCACCTCTTCTCCTGGCAGCGTGCCGGAGTTCGCAGCGCACGGTTGCGGCCTCTGACAGGTCTATGGTTTGCCAAGGGGCTTGGGGATATTGGCACCAGTTCAGATCTTGGGAAAACAGAGCTTGAAGGACTTTTGAAGGGTCTTTAAGATTCAGATCAAGTTTAAAGGTTTACAAGATAGGGTCTTTAGGCTAATGGCGGTCTACCCTCTTCTTGAGTTTAGCTGGCGAACTGTGCAAAAGAACGTCCTGCGATGTCCTTGCTTCAAGGTTCGCTGCGGACCTTCGTGGCGTCACCATCGCAGAGCTCCTGGGATCCAAGTCAAGGCTGTCGCGGTAGGACCTATGCTTCTTATGGCCGTAGAAACTCTGGAATCAAAAGAAGTGCTTTTTAGCAGATCCTCCAAGTCCTCCACTCTCTGAAGCTTGTAATCCGTTCAAATCCCTAGTTGCACTCCAGGAAAGGGGGAGGTTCGGCATCGAGGCCATGACCTGGCACCTAGGCTGGCAGCAGCGAACAGGAGGCCGAAACTGATGAAGCGCGTGCTGCATGCCTGGAAGGCCTGCCGGAGGGCAGCGGGGATTTCAAGGGGGCATCGAGTTGCCAGCATATGGAGGGGGGGGGGGTGCGGTTTGGGCAGGGTCAGCCTGATGCTATGTCATTGCGGAAGGATTTGAGAACACTAGGCCACTATAGACGGTCCTTTGCTCTTCTTGCCTCTCTGTCTCTCTCTCTCTCTCTCGCTCTCTCTCTCCTCTCTCTCTCTCTCTTTCCCTCTCTCTCTCTCTCTTTTTCTCTCTTTCTCTCCCTCTCTATCACTAGCAGATTGTGGACGTGCTCTAGACAAATCTTGTAAGGCGGACTTTTCGCGGCCATCGGCCTCAGTTCCAATCTATTGATGTTGGCAATGCCGGACGAAATCGCCGACCGGCGTCAAAGTGATACAGAAATCGTTGCTCCTCGGATGGGTGGGTCTTAGTGCAAGGCCTCCCTGGCGGCGCCTCGACGCCTCGTCGGGGCACTGGTGGCGCCCACAGCCCAGCGCCGGGAGCACAGAACAGTGTGGGGCGTAACTTCTAGAAAGCTCTGCAGGATGGGTCTCCTTGACATTTTGCAGCTTTGTTGTTTATGTTTCTTTGTTGGGCGGGCGCGCAGGGTGAAGCCCACAAAGATGAGAAAATGCTTTCCGGAGGCCCTAACGCGCACCATTCGTTTCGGGAGCTTTTGTATCTGGGACTTTTCGGCTTGTTCGGTTAGGCTTGAGGGCATTGTGGCTTAGAACATTGTCGTCTTGATTGCCCTGGAGACGCTGTGCGTCTCATCGAAGCCTTGTGTAACTCTTTGTAAATCTGAGGTTTGAGTTGGGCCTTACGCCGCCTCTATGCCCTCAGTGGCCGGCAGCGGCAGGCTGGGCATGCTCTTGAAAAGCACACTCCCTAGAGGAGCACAAGCATTTCGCGTGCCCCATACGACCTTCGTTAAAGAACATCTTCGTCCTGCACAAGCTATACAAGCTTTACTTCTGTCATCGTATGCTCATGGTTGTTTAGTATTTCGTTGGTTTCAACTTCCCGCTGCTCTGCTTCTGCTCGAGAACAGTTGCCATGGTTCAACTGCTTTCCTGGTTGTTTGCCTTGTCCTTCGGATGTTGCTGTGCGTCATGGATTCGGGCATAGTGCTGTGTGGTCGCTTTTAACGGATTGTGGAGATTCAAGAGACATTGTCACAAGGCGGCCTTGCGGCTGGCGTGCAGCAGCTCCGCCCAGCGGCGGCACCGCTGGGAGCTCACAGAATCACAGACTCGCTGTCCAGCCTGTACTGTACTGAAGGCTACAAAAAGGCTTATAAGTCACATCTTGTCACCGGTTGGACATCGGTTTCACTGGGGCATGCAAGCTGGTGAAGGTTCCGAATCGTACTCGTATGACAAAGATGTTTGTGGCAGGAGGCTTTTCGTGCCACGATGCAGAAGCTGGAGAGCTCCCAGCCGCACAGGTCCATACAGGTCCTAAATCTGCACATCAATCCCAGGCCGGCGGCTCCTCTCGCAAGTTTTCACATCCTGGCGGCGAGACTTCACGCAGGCCGTCAAATGAGTGGAGGGGCGACAGGGTCTATACTGGTTTGAATGACCTGATTCCAGTTGTTGCAGAAGTCTTCAAGTTCCTTAGAAGCATCAATTATGAGTGCCAACCTCCGTGCTCCAGGGGACGAATTTCAGGATTGAGCCTTCAACCTCGTCGCGGCTCAGCCTGTGTGTGCATGAGAAAGAAGACCCGGTGAGTTTGGGTTTTTTGCGGATGAGGGTCAAGAGGCCTACAGACCGCAAATGAAGTTGCCGAACTGTACGAAACTCTTAAACTCCCGAATCCAAATTACCAAAAGCGTCGGTTTGGGATAACCCTACATTTCTTTGAGCCAGGCCCTGCTCCAAAGAAGTCCAAGACCCAAAAACCAACGCTTTGGTTCCTCTGGGCATTTGAAATTTGCAGCCTTGGCGAGGCTGAGCGCCGCCTTCGAGCCCGGAGCCGCAACGCGCAGGTGCATTGGGGCTCGTGGCCTTCACAAGGGGTCGCAGGGTTTCTGAGTGGCTTCGGGGTTTGCCCGCCTCGGGCTCGACAGTTTAGGGGCTGTGTGGGTCAAGGGGCTGAGGGCTTGGGGGCTTTTGGGGGCTCTTGAGCTCCGGAACAGTTCCAGGCGTCTCGAAGGGCCCCTCAGTAGCGTCGCTGGAGCGGCCTGAAGGAGCTTGTCATGGAGTTGGGGTCCTCACCGCTTGCGGATTGCTTGCAGGGTTGCCAGCGATCCACAGCCGTCACAAAGCAAACAGCGACAGGCGAAGATCCGACTCCCCCTTCCCCCTTCCACAATGTAAGCCCCAAGTTGAGATTTCGAACGGAGCCTTGCAATGCAAAATGGGCAACGTTGTACAGGAAGAGTTGACAGACAACAGAGAGTTGGTGTACACACACAAATGGGGAGAAGGACACGATACAATGCTCTGAGGACTTCTGCTCTCTGATACAAGAAGCACTGATTCTGATTTGGTTGGTGCAAGCTGGCTGTTAATTTGTCTGGTCCCTGCAATATGCAACATGACATGTCTCATCTTTAACTTTGAAATGAAACAGAGTACAATGGTTTATTGGTGGCCGAACACCAATACTGAGAAGAACGTTCAAACTACTACTTGTGATTGCATGCATTGTGATGCATGTGTAACACCAGTATTACAAATGACAAATAATTAGTATAGCTACTATGGAAATCCGAAACAAAAAAGTAATGTTGCAATTTGTGCTCCTATGCTACTAATGACTAATGCTTATACATTTCCTTGGGTGGGGGTCCCAAACCCAAAAACATACCCTAAAATCAAAAACATTCTCTAAACCCAAAAACATACCCAAAAAAAAACTTGGCTCCCATTTCCTTCCTTACTAGCTCTCTTTTAGGATATACAGCAAAAAATGGATCCGCACCCACACATGCACACCGGCACGCCAGCGGTTTGGAAACCAACTCGACCCTGGCATTCCCAGAGCCCTGGAGCTCCAAAAGCCTTCCCTTGAACCTCACCAATCTGTCAGCTGTCAATTTCTGGTGGCATTTGCTAGGTGCGCGCTGGCCTGCGGCCAGGCACCCAGCAGGAAAGATCAGGAACGTTACGCTTAGGCTGGCGTTTATTGGCTTTAGCTATAAAGACCGAGGTTGCTTTCTTGCGTAAGGCTTTTAAGGGCTTTTCGGATTCTCAGTGTTGAGCGGTACACATTTATAGCATCATTCCAGGAGGTGTTGGCGGCACGCTCAAACACCACAGAAGATTATCACACAACATAGTAATTCCTAACACCTGCTCGCTCTCTCTCAAAAAAAACGTATATAGAGATATATATATATATATAGATATATGCTATATAGGGCTACATGGTTAAACAACCTAAGGTCTGGGCAAGTATACCATCAGCGCCTATAGGCTTAGCACCTTTGAACCTTTTAGAGCCCTACGGGGTTTTCGGGTTCTGTACCGCCTAAGCCTTAAACACTTCTGGTTTAAACTCCATGGCCTTAGGTTTGACTGCTTAAATCTGAAACCCTTAACCTCTAAACCTTAACCCCCTTAACCCCAGGGCTTTAAGGTTAAGGGTCTAGGTTTACTTGCCGGCTTAGTTTCAAACGCCTAGACCTAACACCCCAAACCTTTAAACCTTCACTGTGGGGTTTAAAGGGTTACGGTTAAGGATTCAAGTCAAATAGCTTAACCTTGAAACCCTATGTATGATTAAAGAATTAGGGTTTAAGGTTTGAGCCTAAACCCTACAGGCTTTAAGGCTTGGGGATTAAAGCCTTAAACCCTATCGAGTTTCGGGCCTTCTCTTTCAAACCCTAGTCCCTTAGATGAGCCTTGAACAATCCCTTAACAAACAACCAGAGAGCGCAGCGGAGCGGAGCGGACAGGAGGGGGAGGGAAGGGAAATCCTTTCTGCTGTCTTGTTTGAAAGATTGAAGGTTACCTCTTATTGAAACCCTTCTTGAAATATTGAATGTCAGCAAGGGTGGAACCAAGAACTAAGATTGTCAGACACTCTTGGGCTGGATTCTTGGTTCTTGGGTTACCTCTTCTTGAAACCCTTATTGAAATATTGAATTCCAATAAGGCTGGAACTAAGAACTAAGAAGTAAGATTGTCAGACACTCTTGCTCTGGATTCTTAGTTCCTGGGTTACCTCTTCTTGAAACCCTTATTGAAATATTGAATTTCAATAAGGGCGTTACTAGGAACTAAGAACTAAGACCAGGAGTCCCTGGCAGTCTTCGCCCTTGTTGAAATTCAATATTTTTCAATAAGCGTTTCAACATTCCTCCTTATTGAAGCCTTGATTGAGATATTGAATTTCAATAAGGGTTGAGCATTTTTGAAACCCTTATTGAAATATGAAATTTCAATAAGGGCGGAACTAAGAACTAAGAACTAAGCACTAAGATTGTCAGGGACTCTCGGTCTGGATTCTTAGTTCCTGGGTTACTTCTTATTGAAACCCTTATTGAAACAATGAATTTCAATAAGGGCTGTACTAGGAACTAAGGACTCAGACCAAGAGTCCCTGGCAGTCTTAGTTCTTAGTTCTTAGTTCCGCCCTTATTGAAATTCAATATTTCAATAAGGGTTTCAAAAATGACCACCCTTAGTGAAATTCAATATTTCAATAAGGGTTTCAATACTGCCAACGCTTATTGAAATTCAATATTTCAATAAGGGTTTCAATAATGACCACCCTTATTGAAGTTCAATATGTCAATAAGGGTTTCAATCATGACCACCCTTATTGAAATTCAATATTTCAATAAGGGTGTCAATAATAGAAACACATAGATTTAGCAGACAACAAAAGGAAAACATACAACACAAGAGAACAACCCACAAAGGCATAAAACAAAGCAAAAAGGTATGGATCTTTGGGGGGGGGGGGTACCATATAAAAAAGAGTATATATTTGTATATATATATATACATATACGTATCAGAAATAATGCAAATAGTCGCAATCATAAGAAGAAGAATAAAGCCTTGGGCCTTGAGCTCTCCGAGCCCTTTGGATGTTCCGAGGCTCTCCCGGGAAGCGTTCCAGGCCTGGATGAAGCCTGAGCCTTAGCGCCTGGCCTGGGCACCGAGGGGTCTCTTTCGGTGTATACGATGTATACACTTAATTCAGCGCGTTTGTGCAGTGATTCTTCTCCCGTTTTGTAGGGGGGGGGGGGAGCGGGTTGGTTTTGTTTGTTGCTTTTGTTGCTTGGGGGCTTTGGGTTTGCTTTTGTTGCTTGGGGGCTTAGGGGTTTGTATAGCCTTCAATGTTGAAGGCTCAGCGGTGTCGGGGATCTACATAGGGGCTGAGGCTTCGCGTTCCCAAGCCAACTGGAGTTAGTGTCTAGCGTCGCGCAGGGCTAAGGAACTTAGCAGAGCAACAGGAATGATGCACGTCACGACTACCCAAACGGCTGGACGTGAGGCACTGCGGTTTGGGCTGCAAAGTTTGCACGCGCGTTCCGAGGCAGTCAATCTGGTCACAGTGGGTTTTTCACTGAGGCTTGATGTCTACCACCGCCGGCTGCATCGGCTGGTTGCTGTGCCCTGGCCTCAGCGTCCTGGAAACCCTTAGCCCCAAGTCCTCAAGTCTGGCAAAACCTGCCAGTTGTCAAGGCAGAGCAGAGATCTGTTTCACGTTTCGAGAACCATCAAAGGATCAAGGATGTCTCCCAAACCCCGATATGAGCCCTTTCAAGGCTACGTTCGGGATGGGGCCGCTCTGGGCTTCGGACATGGCGGACGCAGGCGCGCAGCGTGGGTATGGGGTATGGTTCTCTGGAAGCGGTTCAGGGAGGTCTATGAGCCTTGTCGGGAGGGTGCCCGCTAAAGATACGCAACACATACTCTTATAGAGACACCTGAAGCTAACTTGCGCTTATTGAGGACCTCGCCTGACCCCCAAACGTGCCCAGCATTTTCTGTAAGCCGAGTTTCTAGACCTCGTCGCGACAAACACGGTCCGACACTGTAATCTGTAGTTGCCTGGTTCCAGGCTTGCGCCATCAACCGGTTCAACATGGTTCAACCATGAAAAGCCCAGAAGCCTGTGTATGAAGAGCTCCAGGCGGCTCGGCGCGCTGCAAAGGCGACGGCAGAGGTCCTCGGCAAAGAGGCCGTGTGGCTCATGTCGCCTGTGCGGGTTTATGCGGGTTTCCTTCTTGTGGCTGGATTTGGTTTTGGGAGCACGTTCCCTTCTAATACCATGTGAGAGGGTGCTTGGCATTTCGGTGAGCGAATTTCCCTGCACCTCAAGTATCCAACAACGGCTATCGAATCTGAACGTGAAGCATCCAAAGGACAATAGAGGCTCGGGCAGAATCTTTCAGCCAAAGTTCTTTGGTGAGGGTTCTTCTGGGTTGCTGGGGGCTAGAGGTGTTGGGCCATGAGTTTGGCCTTCTACTCCAGGAACATGTGTTGACATCTGGCGCGAAGCTGCAGCATGGAGCTTCAACTGTCGCATAGCCGTGATAGTGCATCTGCCACCCATTGGGAGAAGTACTCCAAGCCTTTAAAAGCCCAAATCCCGAAATCTTCGAATCTCTGCACCGAAAAAGCCTCGTGCCCGTAGGCCTTACATCGGGCCTTGGCGCAGCAGAAGGTGCCATCAGCATCCGGGTGTTGGCAAATCCTCCCAAGTCAGGCTTTCGGTATTAAGGTTTGATTGTGATCAAGGAATCAACGGTATCAAGCGGTGCCAATAATGGCCTGCAAAAGTACCTCGTAAGCGTGGCTCTTGGATGGCATGTGGCAGCAAGAGCAGGATGTTTACGGTTCAGGATCGGAGCGGATCCTGGCAATAGGGTTCCGGCCTTTGTCCACGTTGGAGGAGCATGATCCGCGACTGTTATTTTCCTGTCTGGTGATTGTGCTCGCTTCAGCGCGGCAGTCGGTCAATCACTGCGGATCTGCACGCCGAAGATGTCCGATGGGGGAGAGACCAAAGCCCCTAGAGTCCTAGAGCCTGAGACCTAAACCCATCTAAACCCCCAAAGGCTCGAAAGTCGACACTCCGACCACTGTGAAAATTCGCTTGCCTTTCTTTCTGTCTTTGTTTCCTTTCTCTGCATCTCTCTCTCTCTCTCCCCCTCCCTCCCTCCCTCCCTCCCTTCCTCTCTCCGTTTCCCTCTGCATCTCACTGTCACCGCTCTCCTCTGTCTATTTACTCTGTTTCTGCGGTGCGGATGGAGTATCTGTCTCTGTTCGGGCATCCTGCGTCAAAGATATATTTAGAGTCGGAAACGGGCATTGCAAAGCTGGCGTCGGCAGGTCGGCTGCGAGTACTTTGTAGAGGCCCGGAGCCGGGAATGCGCCAACCGCACAGCGAAGGCACTCGGGAAGCCTCTTTGCATTACAGGAACGACTCTCTCTATTCAGAGTCAGGAAGGGGGTGCAGGCTCTGAGCTTCCCATCTCAGAGCCCTACTCGTACTTCAACTGTCTTTGAATGACCTTTCCAAACAAATAGCGGGATAGGGTATACCCGCGCTGTGGGAGCACGTTCATGACTTTGACGAGGCTCTTAATGTTGTAGGATTACTGTTGGAGAGGGCATCCGCGTAGGAATGTCATGTTGCTGTTTGGGTAGAGCAACAGGCTAACCCTTGTCTGCGCAAGGCGCTGCTCCATGCCTGGCGCTGTGCGTCTGCAGCAGACAGTGCGGCCAAGGCTGGTTATAAGTCTTTGAGACCGCTCAAGCTCGGGTATGCTTCGAGTCTCATTCAGCCGGCCTGTGAGGGCTGTGGATGTCTGCAGATTGCTTGAAAACTAGAGGCTTGGGAAATTGCTTCAGCATTCACAGGGAAGCAAGGAGCATTTGCCGCTCATCCCAAACACTATAAGGCATCCTATACCCGATTTGCAGCCACAGCTGTGATCTGCAAAATGATGTTCAATGAATCCCCCGCCCCCCTAGGGCCTCTATTGAGGGGAGGGTCGGCCTCTCCCTTTGTTTAATAGGACATTGCAAGTTCTGAATTTTCCCCCCTCAGTCTCTCGTTGGAATTGCCTCAAGTCCCTGCAGTCTCTAGTTTACTTGGGGCTTCCAGCTTTAAAACTCTGCAGTTTTCAGCAAACGCTCAGCTTCAGTGCTCATCAACACCAACTTCTCTCTGAAACAACTTCAGTCACGGAAACTCTTGTATTCGTGAGCTGGGGGGGGGTTGTTCTGGGCCTGAGGTACCTTAATTCAGCGGGGTTTGTAATCTGAAGAGGACATTAACAGTATAGCAGAGTGTTGACAAGTTAGCCCAAAGTTGTTTGCTGGGAAACGTGGTGGCTTAGAACCGCATGGCCGAGACAATCTTAGCCCTCAGGCCCAGCGCATTGCCGCAGCGCAGTTCTTGATTCGCACCGTTGCCGGCTACGAGAGGCGATGGCAGTCCAAAGCCTAATAGAGCCCAAATCTTACAGCCTTGAGACCTGTGGAGGTACTGCTCTTGCTGGGAGGCTTTGAAAACTTTGGAGGTTTGGTTGTTTCAGCTATACTGCTTGGCCATGGTTGGTGGCGTAGCACCCTGTAGACAGATCGACCCTGGAATTCAACACCTCAAGGTGCATTTTACCGGCTTCCGGGTGTTGTCTGATACCCACCTGTCATACACTGGATTACAACAGATCTCATCAGCCATGCAAAGCAGAAGTGCAGTGCACCCTCAACTCTTGTTGATTTCGCCTTCGAGTTGCTGGACTTCCAGCTTGCAGGCTCGCGCGGCGAGCTGCGCTTCAACGCCAGGGACCCAGCACCAAGCCGATTAAAGCCACCTTCTGCACAACACACACACACACACCTTGGCGGCTCAAAGCTTAGGCAATTTTACCACAACCCTAACTCGCCAAAGTGTAGGGCAGTGGAGGGTTTTAGCAGGTTTCCTTTGCTACAACATCAGAGGTGGCCCACTTTGCCCAAACCTGTCTGGATGGGGGAGCAGGGAGAAAGTTGGTTTAAACCCTGAATCCTGACATATACTCGAAGTCATTGGGGTTGCGTGTCAAGTTGATCGAAACAGGTCGCAGCGTCGTAGCTATTCTCGCTTTGGGGCTTTGCGGCCGCTATCAGGTTGGCGGGCCGCTGCAGACGTGGCATGTGTGGAGGCCAGATGGGTCACCGGAAGCCGCTACTGGTACGGTGAGGTTTTAAAAAGTGGCGGGCGGCCAGCCTGCAACGGCCACGGGGGTAGCATAAAAGACCAGTGTACATCCGCATGTTTTCGTATTTATGCACTAAACCCAGCCAACCCCGCCCACCACCCCGCCAGCCAACCCCCCCTCCCAACCAGCCAGACCCCCGCTCCAGCCAACCCCCCCCCCCCCCCCTCCAACCTCCAACCTCCAGCCGACTCGGGGGGCAGGGGGTTGGGGGGGTTGGCTGGGGCTGGAGGGGGGGAAAGGGGGGTCCATTTCCAGATGTTGAAAATGCTGGGCGGCCTTGACGCCGTGCTATACGGAGGTAGTATGAAATACCTGTTTGCCCTTTTTGCATGTCCGGGTATTCAAAAACCGGCCACCGTATGTAAATACATACACATGTATCTACACATGCACCGCACTCGACGTGTTCACACCCATTGGCAGCAAAATCCTGCAACATAGTGCTGGCTGCAAAAGCTGTATCACCGGAGGTGTGCTAGCTGAAGCCACTATTTTGTGCAGTGTCAGGTGCGTTTCTGCATATCATGGTTTCAGACGTGTTCTGTGGTGACATCAAGAGCTGCTTACACTTGACTTGCCCACGAGGCAACCTCGAAGGAAAGGATGGCAGCTCGCAGCCGGCATGAGCGGCAGCAACAGATGCAGAATGGGTTGCCTGGAGCTTAGGCTCAGAGCTGCTGATGTGGGCTGCGGGGTTGCCTAATTAGGGTCTCAGGATCCGACAGTGCAAGCACTCCTAGGGGAGAGACCCACAGCTTCCGATCAAGGCGCATTCTTGCAACTGTCGTGAAGCACCGCGTGCAGATGGCCCTAGCCCAGGCCGGCCCGCACGTCTCTAGCAGAACTAATGAAGTTGAATTAAGTGAAGTGTGGCTGCTGTGGGGGGCGAGACCCACGACCCGCTCAGGAATCCATCCTTATAGAGCCAAGAGTCCCTGACGAGGAGACGCGCAGTTAACCACTTGAGAGTCGGTTCCTTAGTATAAGTCTCTGACAGTCTCTGACAGTCTCTGTTGCTCTTTGAAGCCCCAAAGCTGCAAAGTCACAAAACGTCGAGAACAAATTTCAAAAGGGCTCGTCTGGGTCTTGGAGACTCACACGACAGTGTACACGACAGTGTGAGGGCACGCTAGACGAAGAAGCGTCCAAACCTTACACGTGTTTCCGCACACGTTCCCCTACTTGCTTTCCGAAGCCCTATAACAAGTCCCTGACCAGATGCCTCACTCCGAGTGCAGGCTTTCCATGGCCAGTGGCGGGCCTGCCGATGGCAAGCCATGGTTGGGACCCCGTCAGCTCTAGGTTGATGGACCGTCATCGGGGCGCATCGGGCGGATGCTGTCGTAGGCCAAAGGTCCTCAAGCCATGGCGTCAATTGTACACTGCCAAGGATACAAGATTCCACCGACCGATTCCAGGTTCGAGCGCTGGATGCTTCCGCGCTGAGGGACCAGCGTCGCATGCGAGCTGCCAGGGGGCTCAGACCACAGGGTTCCCACAGAAGCTCAAAGACATTCACCGGTGTGCTGCTCAGAGTTTTGGCGGTTGCTGGCTGGCTTCTTCGTCTCACACTTTTCCTCTTGTCAGTCTCTACAGAGCTCAACATGCCTGTCAGAAAGTCAAAAGTCCAGAGCCGCCAATCCATCGCAGACCTTTGAGAGCTACGAAGCATAGCTGTTAAAGGTAGTTCGGCCTCGAGAGCAACTCGGACCCCCGAGCTTGTTCCACACCAGGAGGCTGAGACCCTTCGGGCGCAGGTGGTGGCATGCCGTGAGGAGGTCCACTACTCGGTGTTCAGGAAGGGGTCAAGAGGGCTTGTGTGGGCGCTTATTCACTGAGCTCTGGATCCAAGACCAACAGAGTTGGGGTTGAAGGGCTTGGGGGCTCGGGATGAGAAGGACTCGGCTTGGGTAGAGAGGGTTGAGAGCATCGTCTCGCAGGTGCATCGTTGAAACTCAAGGAGCCGAGGCAGCTCCATTTGAAGCATGTTGCGAACGAACAAGCAACGACGCTCTGCGACGCCGTCAAGTCTACTGAGAGGTACTGAAAGATACGGACCGGTTCTGAGAACCAGCCATAGATTGCCTGTTGCCAGTTCACATGAGTCTGTCGGTTATGTCCTGGTATGTCCTGGTCCAAGATTCCACATGCGGAAGGACGCACAGAGTGACACGAGATTTTCTTAGACTTGGCTGGGGACAGCCCAGGCGTACGAGATGCGTGCCCGAACAGCGGCGGAGGAAGTGCGTGGCGATCGCACACGTGAAGAAGCACAGGTCGGATGTGCTTAGTTGCGTAGGCAGGGTGTGGTGAAGCGTGGAGGGATTGGATTTCGTATGTTGAGAGTCCCACAGCCCACACAGCCCACAGTGAACAGAGTGAGCAAAGCGTGGTCTTGGTTCGACATGAAGGTCCTTGCTTTGCAGTCCCAGAAACAGTTAAAACAGCTAGCTGCCACAATGTGAAACTGCGTTGCCTCCAGAGGTTCCTGTGACCCTGTAGACTGAATGATCGCCAATATACTGCGCTTTACATAACATGTTACATGCTAGATGTCATGTCCGTAGTATAACTCCAATAGCACCCTAAGGCTAAGGCTAAGATCCCCAGACCGTATACGGATGTATACGGTGAAATGGAGAAGCACAACCACTCAAAAAGCCCGGCCCACCGCCCCCGAAAGCCCCCACCTTTCAACAGCACAAGCCGTTGCAAGCTGCTGCAAGCATCAGGAGATCGTGGAAGCCGTGAGGCGAGAACGTGCATCCCAGGCGCGGGAGGAACGTGCGGCAGTGCGGAACGCTTTAGGAGGCTTTGGGGGCTTTGGGGGCATTTTCGTGCGGTAGCGTCCTTTCAAGGTTCAAGGGTGTTTTTTTCCGACCTAGCTGCGTGTTTGCGCATCCACCGCACCTACTCACCTAGCTTTACGACACCGGCTCCACCCCAGTCCCCCCACCAGGCAGAAAAGATTGCAGAACTGCGAAGTTCTGAAAGAGAGGCCTTGGAGGAATCGCAGGAGCCATGTGGTCCGTGGCTGGGTATATTTCGAGGGATGAGGGCTTGGGCCTGGGCCTGGGCGTTCAGATCTAGTTTCTTTCCTTAGGCCTTAGGCCCCTTAGCCAAACTTGGTCCAAAGGGGTCCGAGACTCAAGATCAATTCGCAAAGAATTACGTGCTGAAGCTGCATGGGGCCTTGCGCTACTCTACTCGGCGGTGAGTTTGCTGGACAGGCTCGAGTTCGAAGGTTAACAACCCGAACCAAATGCCGGAAAACTCAACCCCCAAAGCCTTGGAGCCCCCACCCTTCAGAGTAGAGTTGCTCGACGTTGGTGATCCTGACGCATCACGCCCTTCACGAGGATCTCCGCGAGAGGCTGGATGACGTGTCCTGGCATGATGTGATGCTTGAGAAGTATACAGGCGGCTCCCACATTTTCAGGGCTGTGTTTGGGTGGAGGCCTTGGCTGCGCAATCGCTTGAATCGCTTCCAGCGGCTCCGCCGTAAAATAGCATCCACGAGGGATAGCATGAGAGCTTGCTGTCGTTTTGCGGCGCTTGGCTCCCAATCTCCCTGTTTCGCCTTCGCGACACCTTTAGACCCCCTTAGACCCCTCAGACCCTTTACTAAGCCCTGAGTCCCACGCCCAAACAGTCTAAGCGCTGCTCCGTAGAGCCGCACCTCTTGAAACATGTCCCCAGGCCCTTTCCCACGTCAATCGCCTCGAGGGTGCGAAGCAGAGCACCCTCGAAGATCTCCGCCTCCGGGACTTGACCAGTATAGTGCCCCCAAATACACCAGTTTCTGGAGTTGGGTTTATCTCGGGCGCCCAGCACTTTTCCGCACCTTTTTTGGCGTCTTTAGACCAACGAATCATCTGTGGCCCTCCGGACTTCATAAACTTGAAGTTGAGGCTCTGGAATTGGAGGTTGAGGAGCGCACACAAGCGAGTAGCCCGAAGCCGTATCTTTTAAGCGGCTGCTAAAGGTCTGGGGATCACTGGGTCGAACTCCCCTGCTAAGCTGGACTGCGCATGGAGTGAAGAACTGTAGCTTTGGTTGTCATGGCTGGCTTGCCACAAGAATATCGAACGCCTTCAGCAGAGAACGTGCCCTCTGCAAGGCATGCTCCACACAGAGCTCGATGAAGCTCGCGAGAGGGGCGAGGAGCTCTCGAAGGAGCTGCACATTGACATGTGGGCAAATTAGCACGTAGCCGCGTAGCCCTGGAACGGGATGCTTCTATGATCTGCTATTCTTATTCGTGGCGGACACTCTGTCCAAGACCGAAACATGAACTCTTTGACCAGGCAGAAGTGCAGCGAGAGCGTGCGCATCACGAGCAGGTGCCGGGATTTGATGGGATTTACCTGTTACGGGATCCATTGGGAGGGTCATTGACAGCTCGCACGTGCGATTGGGGTGAAACTCCTGCATGATCATCCATCTTCTATGTCCCGGTGCACCACACCGGCCACACCGTACACCCAAGATGATGGGTATCATGATGTACAGACCTCTCTACTGTTGGGGCCATCTTAGGAAGGAGTAACTCCCAAGAGGGGACTCATATCAGAGGGGACTCATATCAAAATTCAGTTGATCCCTAAGCCGGCCCTCAGCCCTAGCAGTTCAAAACAGGTGCAGACGCTGCAGCAGCAAGACCTGGCCTCAGCAGCCTTACTTCCGGGCTTCTGCCGCCTCCTTATCAGGTGCTGAATACCTCCCGAATAACACCTACACGAAAGTGTATGGCGACTTCACGGCCCGCGTCGTTTGGCCCATACCTTGCACGGCGAAATGAATTAGTTGCACTTGTAGCCCCTAAACACCCGCACAGCCCCCTTGTCCTCTACAAGCCTCCACGAGCTCCCAACAAAGTTCAACTAGCCAACTAGCCGGTGCAAGTGACATTCTAGCAGGTCGAGGCGATCAGGAGGGCTTCAGAGATGTGATTTAGGATTCGGGTGATGTCATGTCGGATGGAACAGGGAGGCTTTGACTGCATCGGCTCGCATCAAGCATTGCTTTGCTCCAAGGCCCTGCTTGCACAGAATGCTGCTCGCGACCAAGAGGCCGCATTCCGGCGCCAGCTGGCCACTGCCCCGGCATTTCACACGATATAAGGCAGACATTGATCTAATTCAAAATTCAATAATCTTCGGCAATCATGTTGGCAATTGAAGTTGAGGACTTGTGGCCTCGCGGTCTAGTGCTTCTGAATCTTTCGAGATTTGCGAAACTCAGAGTTGCTTGAAGGGCTCGTGGGAACTTTGTTGCGCTTGTTACTGATGGTATGGTGGCCGGCTTCTCGGAGCGTGATACCACGGGCGACTTTCCCGAAAGGTTGGCCAGTCCAATTTAACCTGTTTCAAGCCTGCTGATGCCTGCTGTCTCGTTCCGAAGTCTACAAAGCCCTAAGCCACATAGGATGTGATGGTGCAACCCGTTCAAGCTGCGGAGCTCATATAGCCCGACAGTCTTGAGTGCACCGAGTATGAACCCAGTGTCCGAGGGGCTTTGAGAATTCGTTCGGGGTGTAGGGTTTACCGGAGGGTTGAGTTTAGCCTTCACCCCCCATGCCCATTACAACTTTCGGGAGTTTAGGTTTCGGGCCCTTGGATTCGGAGGGTGTAGAGAAGACGTGGGCGTCAGGGCCATTGTTGGGCGAGGTCTGCACCGTCCACGTCCAGAGTCGCTTGTGTGGTTTCTGAATTTCTGAAGCTAAACCCCAGCACGGCGCTGGCGCTCAAGACTGATTGTCGGGTCACCGGACTTCCTGCTCTGTCTGGACTACCGGGGCTTTGTGTATATATATATATATATCGCTTTGCTTTCGCTTTCGAGGCACAGAATCCGTGAGGATGCAGCCTTTGCATGCACGTAATTAAAGTTGGAAAGGGAGGAGCGAGCCTGCAGAGCAGCGCAGGTCATGCCCTCGAGGCAGTATGCACTCGCAGAGGGTCTGCGGCGCAGAAATCTGCAAGCAAACAATGGGTGCGAGGCCAAAGGGATTTAACCGGCCAGGCTTTGCCCGAAAAGCCGTCCCTATAACAGCCAAATAACAAAACGCAAAGAGCAAGCGACCCATCACGGCACCATGAATACCCACGAATGCCTGGAAGAGACACCGCGCGAACCTACGACAAACAATCCGTATCACCACCTGGGTCAAAACAGGCGTGACAACGGGGATATGGCACCAAGTTTCTCCGGAACTCGTTTGTGACCTTCAAGACTGCCTCAAACCGCTGTGACGCGGGGCTGCCAAGACAATAGTCTAGTCCAGCTACATCAAGCGCTCCAGGGCATCCTGAGCTAGATCCTGGGCCACCTCCGCAAGCATTGTGCGCGCAAGGTGTTTGACGTCCCACGCAGTTGCCGATGAGCCGCACAATTCGACCAAAGACAGTTTCAACGATCTTTCCCACATTCGTGCACCGTCTAAGATCGCAGTCCTGTGCTGCGGCTTTCATCTCCGAAAAGATCGGTTCAGGAAAAAAGTATTCGCCAGCAACAGTCTCACCGAACAAGGTGTTGGAGGTAGCATTCCAATCATCAAGCTTGTCTAAAGGCAACAGTCCGTCGACATGCATGCCGTGCTCGAGGCAGAAGAGCTCCCAACAGACAGTGTCGATCCCGGAATGCGCTTCCATGCCAGCTGTGTCGGTGCCCTTTGCGCCTAGATCGCTCAGGTTAAGGAAGAGATACCTGCCACAATCCGTCGCAGCCGTATTCTCCATGTGGGTTGCGTTCAAAATTCGCGTGTCTGCCCAGTTACTTTAATTTACATTAATTGGTTTGGCCGGTCTATTTTCATGTCTTTGCTATAAGGCGGCACCGAGGGGGATCCCCTAAACCCCCAGTGTGGCGCTAGGAAAACGCTAGGTTCGCGCTAGGTAAAATCAACAAACATTATTTCAAATTTCGCATGTCACCACTAAGCGAACCCAACAGAGATTGATTGAGAAGGTCCAGCCAGGCGCACCACCCGAAATGTGCGTACAACATCCGGGGTGGTGGAATGACCCCGCACCTCTTCGTTATGAATTGACGGGGCCCCTTTTGCCAGGATAGAGGTTCTTCTAGGAAAACGATGACAAGAAAGAAACGATATTCTTGTTATACTTGGTACATTTGCTGCTCCTGGCTTGTTTTCGTCGTTCATCACGTCGTAGTATCAGATCTTGGAAAATCCGGCACAGTGTTTTGCGCTAGCGCCGCGCTAGCACGGCGCTAGCAAAATGTCAACGCAACCTCCCCCGGCAGACCATGGCCCATTCCTCCTCTAGCAGACCACAAAGGAGCACCATAGAACCGAGAGTGCTATGCTTGCTGGAGCTCGAGCCCCGCAAGTGGCGACAGCGGAGAAACCTTCGCTCGCGCCAGAACTCCAGCAGTAGCAGTATGTAGCAGAAACACTAGCAGTTCTTGCGACGACTCGTCCGACAGCAGCGCCTGAAAAATTGTCCGCGCTAGCACCCTTTCTAGGAAATCATGCTTGGATCCTTCAAATGTCGAGTTTGCTACTCCATCTCAATCAGCTTCTTTTTCCTTCAGGACATAAGGCGGCACCGAGGGAGTTCCGATTTAACGTCAATTTCGGGAACAAGCATTTTGACAACAACCCATGTGCAAGGGTTCCCACACAACTTGCTCTCCAACGGGCTCCCACAAGCCCCGCCAACGTCCCGAAACACAGACATCATCGGAGAGTTGGGTGTAAAGTTGCCTGCCACACCGATCGTTGGCTTGATCCCCTCGGCCAACCAATGTCTCGGCAGCTCTTTGGGCGAAGCGCTTGATGGTGTCCTTCTTCCGGCTCAAATCAAGCCCAATACACGACTGCAGACTCAACCGAAGAGCACGCAATGAAACTGAGCCCACACCTGCAACCAATCGGGGGACCATGACCGACACTATGTCCATAATAGCATCGTCGAGCCTCCTGTCATCAAAGACCAGGCCAGGCTGGTCAAAAGGAGTGCTTTCCATACTGGCTCCTGGACGTGCCACGTTCCGCATGGCAGCCATTATATGCGGCACTGGGGCTATATATGGAGGTCTGAAAGTCCTGTCTCGCATTTGCACCTGTTGGCTTATACGAGCCTCTGCTCTGCGTGTCTGGTCGCACATGCTGGCTTTTACGAGCCTTAGTGTCTCTTCTCTTCGCGCCGCCCTCAGAAGTATAGGACTGGTTGTGATGTTTCGGTTTGCCACAGTGCCACAGAGCAGACCCTTTTCCTCAGTATTCGTGTAGTGAGCCTCTGGACATCTCTGGACTTTAGACCTCCTAAAACCCAGGATCTAGCGCAGAAGGAGGCCAACGACGCTACGCACAGCTCTGAAAAGACATGGGAGCTGAGGCAAGGAGCCCAAACCGGACTTATCATGTTTGGGGTTGCTTCTTGGCTTGTTTTGTTCTTTCTTAGTCTTGGTTGATATTGATTTATTTTTTTTTGTTTTTTGGGGCGGGGTAGGGCTCTGAGGAGTCTGTCATAATCCTGAAGCTTCAACGAGTCGTACTTGTGAAGAGGTGCTAGGTACATGCCGCAGGGGGGAAGCCTCGTGTATTGTAGAGCCAATACTATTACCCTCCAGCTCCGGGACGAGGACAGGAAAAGCAACCTGAGATCCTTCAGCTGCTTTGGGTTGGTTCTTGCAAAGTTGCAAAGCTCAGGGCTCTTGCGGCGCTCTTGGATGGGGACTTCCGGCAAACCGCGTAACGCTCCAGGGCTGCTAGGGCTTCGGAGTGTGGCATGACGATGAAGCCTAGGGGGGCGCGGGGGTTGCTTGATCTGCAGCGCACCGGATAGGCTGCAGGAGAAGGAGCGTGCCTGCGAGCTACAGACATCCATTGCAGCAACCCCGGTTTTGCGCTTTTCCTGGCCCTTCTCAAGTTCAAGGCCTTCGGGGCCTTCATGGGTCTGAGCCTTTGAACTCGCAAGCCCTGTTGAAGCCCAAGGTTTGACAAGCCTGGAATTGATTTCCGAGTGGCACGTGTACCCGAAGGATTCACGACGACACTCCAGACTCCTTCTGTCATGCTGAGGCTGAAGATCAGGAGAGGAACATCCGCCACCTCGAAAGCCTCCTCAAGGCACCGAAATCTCAAGTCGTTGAGAGACTTTGGGGCTAAGAGCAATCCTGTATCGGTGGTTCGGGCCGGTTCGGGAGAAACCCTCTAAACCAGATTCAACCCGAACTGGAAGGCAAACGGGCTTACTCCTACGGCTTCCCGGATCTGTCGTCGTGAATTTGTTTGATGTTGCATCAACGTTGCCTGTTGGCTGGGATCTGCTCATTTTGAGCAGCACTAATTCTAAGAAGCAGGTTCGTGTTCCCGAAGAATCCTCATGAGGGGACTTGAACTCAAATAGAAGCACGGAGTCCGAAACCCTTGGAGATCGGAGGAGCAAGGAGACCAGCTGACAAAGGAGCGGAGTGATCACATGAGGGGCTTGGACCAGCCAGGCGCCCTGCGATTCTCTGCTTCAGCATCTGAGAAGTTTCTCTTCTCGACCTCAAAAAGAGGAGCTGTCCTACTGCTGCCCTCGGCCAAGGTTGCGAGCCTCAACCGCCCTGTCGGAGTCGAAAACCTGTCTCCTCCAGGAGCAGGCGAGCATTGGAGGGGTTGTTTATGCTCGGCTTTTGGGGCATTGGAGGGGTTTGGGGTGGTTTGGGGTGGTTTGGGGGGTGAGCCTTTCACACGAAGTAGATGATTGATCGACTTCTGGGTTTGGGCGGAGGGCTGGGCGACCATCTCTCGTTTAGAATCGAAATGGTGGAGGTAGCCATCAGGTGACAGTCGTTGTTGTCGTGGTTTCTGGCAAGAAGCAATCCTTTTAATCAAATTACCCAGCATAGCTCCCCAAAAGGTAGCTTGCCTTTGACCACAATATGAGCAGCCAGCGTGCTTGCTGCAAATAGTAAGCACATTTAAGAACTTAGCACAACTTGATCTTTCTTGCGCTGTAAGAGTTCTCGGATTCTTTTCGGGAGGTGCTCTCTCTTTTGCTGTCGCAAGTTCTATGGAGCCTCTAGGGGGGGCGATCACTAGAGTTATGTCAGGTGGTTGCTCTCCGGCAACAGCTGCGGCGTGAGCATCAGGAGCATGTGTTGCAGCTGCTTGAGCCAATTTTTGGTGTTGTTGCTACATCTGCTGCTGAGCTGTTGAAGATCTCGTGTTGTCGCTGTTGCATGCGTGCCATTTTTCAAATCCAAGACATCGGAGATCTTGTGCACATCATACGTGATTGCTTCCATCACATTCATAGGGTTTGCCCCCCAAAATAGCTGGGCTGCCAACCTCTTCCGCCAGAGCTCTTTACATCAAAGAAGCGAAGCTACTACATTGCCGACGGTCAAAGGAGCTCTTGGCATCTGAAAAAGCATGGTCTAGCCACTTGCCTGCAGATTTTGGGGCAGGGTTTCGTTGTGGCTCTTGTGACTTGAGGTTATTGTAAGGCCTGTACTTCACTGTAAGGTGATGGAAGCGCCTCCGGAATCTAGAATGTGCGTTTGGATTGGGCGCTGTCTGCATCTACACGTTTACCCAATCTTGCGAGGCGTTGCTTGCATGTTTTCAGAACAGCGACGGTGGGTTTTGAAATTGTGCTAAATGGTTTCGGTTTGCCCTGGGCTTTTCGTGCAAATCTCGGGAGGGAGTCGGAACCCGACACACTAAGCCCGAAGCGTCTATTTCAACTTAAAACCCCAGGTGACCGGGCAGCATTGTTGTCCGCCGTGGCCTCTCAGGGAGAGCCCGTGGCCCTGCGGGCACTGCTCGGGGGCACGGACAATCCTGTTTTGCCGCGTCATTCCGCGTCATGCCTGTCTTGTGGAGTTCAGAGCTTGGACTAGAGTTGCACTAGTGGGTTCGGAAAAGCTCTCATTTTTCGCATGTTTCAGGTTGTTGCTAGGCTGCAACTATGATGCTGTGTTTGTCTTCACAGTTCGAAGCTCACCTGCAGATGCGTAGTTTTGTATATGTCTGAGGTTTGTGGATGAAGAGAGAGTGTGTGTGTGTGTGCGTGGCTAGGCCGTCAAAAGTTTCTGAACAAGAACTTCGTGCTTCAGTGGATTCAAGCAGTTTCACAACTTTGGTCAAGTCGTTGATAAGTCTAGTCCGTGCTAGCCCTTATTCGGCATCATGAGATGGGTGCTTGACAACTTGAAGAGACTCGCTGCACGCGGGCTGCACGCGGGATCGCTGTGCTTGCTCTGGGGCCTGCAGCTGTAGGCCTCCTCCGGCACGCAGCCGCAGCTCCTCCGCCAGTCGGCGCAAGGCTCCGCGCTACAAAGGGGGCTCAACGGGACTTAGGCCACGCAGAGAAGTAGTCCTAGGAGGATGTCTCTTTTGATTTCTGTCGAGAAGCATGGACTAAAGGGACTGCTGGTCCTTGAGATGCCACCCCTGGTACATCCTGGTGCCCTCCTGGTACCGGCGCAGCCGAGGCTTCGCCAAGTCCCAAAGATCAAGGCTCGCGATGGGAAGAATTGGGTTTGAAAGGCTCAAGGCCTGGGGTTGCAGCTGGAGAAAATTCTTTGCTCTGCGGGGTTTCATGAAGGCGCGCTTGCCAATCAGAAGCCAGAAAGAAGCCAACTTGCACAGTCCAAGCAACCCAAATAAGTAGATTTAGCAAGCATCTGGGGTGTTTGCGGACCCTTTTAATGATCTCTGTGATGATAGATTCCTTATGGTTCAAATCCTAGATCAACACCTACGTAGATGCAGGGTTGCCTGTTCGACCCGTACCTGCTTCTTTGACCAGAGCTCAGCTTTGTCGAGCTCAAACCCGAAGTCATCAAGCCGAGAAGACGGAGGGCCCTACACCTGGCTTTTCGATGTAAGCCCGCCCTTGCAACTTCAGGGGATTCATGTCCTGAGAAACGCAAACGAGGAAACCGGCAAAATTGCCATTTTGATGTGGTTTAACCAAAGCTCTGCCATCAGTCCCCTAACTCAGCCTTTCAATCCCACAAACCAGCAAATACTTGACCGCATAACCCAATATTCCACCAGGTCCTGGCTCAGTCTCAGCCGTCCGGTGCCCCTGGCAACTTCCTGAGTACAATGCTGCCTCACTGTGGCATCGGTCGAACGTTTGGGGGTTTGATGGCTTATTGCATGGACTACAAGAAGATTTAGCATGGTGTATGATGTTTTGAATTTAGGTGCACCACGTGTGGTTTCGCATTCCATGTTTATAAAGGGGAAGAGAATGAAGGTGTTGCCCATCTTACGAGGGGCTCCCCTCGGACCTTGCAACCACTGGGATAAAGATTTGTTGTCATGGCTGGAGATCGGCTTGTCGATAGACCAAGCACGACGAGCCCTGTTATCGTGTTGTTGCTCCGCAGTCAAGCTGCAAGCAGCATCCTTTGCACCCGACGGGCGTGAAGAACTGCGAGCCTTTCATCCAAAGATCCTCACTGAGATTTTTATATTGCAGTGAAACCACTGAACCTCTCAAAGCCCAGAACGCCGGATCAATAAGTTGCAAATCCTGGCCCTTTAATCCCACTCGTCAACCAATAGACGATCTAAGACATACGTTTACCAGGAAAAAGCACCTCAAGTCAAAGCCTTGAAACCCAAGAGACAACCAAACTTTCCCACAAGGGAAGAAGAAGCAAATGGGCTTGTGACGCATGAAAGGCATGGTCCTGGCGCTTCAAAAAAGTTGGCTCCAGCGCTGATGTGAGGCACCTGCCGCACCTTCCGAAACGGACAAGGGTAGTTTGGGCTCTCTGTCTTTTATCGTTTGACTTTGTGTTGTTCTCTGCAATTATTACGGTGATTCGGCTTCAGGAAGCTCAGGCTTTGGTCAACATGGTGTTGCTTCAGCTGTCCTTGTGGACCTGCGAGGCCAGGACTGCAAGGTTGGGGAGGCTTCTGCCTCACATGCAGATTATCTGCTGCAGATTAGTACAGGAGGGCGCGGCCTTTTCTCAGCATAGTTACAGGCTCACGCCTCACGCCTTTTGTTTTGCCATCGTGGAAATGCAGGTGAGACAGCACGTCCTGAGAAATGCCGTTGGCAGCTTTGGCCATGATGGTACGGCCCGCGAGCTGTACTTAGCTTTCTCTCGAAATATCTTAAAGTTTCGCTGTACCTTAACGGAGACTATGGATGCACGATGCATGATGCATCGGTTCCCTGCCGCATGTTTTGGCTGAGCCAGTCAGTAGTTACGACAGTACGAAGTTATGTTTCTTAGTTCCTCGCCTGAAGTCAACGAAGCTTGCCAGAAGCCACATGGACCAGAAGGGATTCCGATGACATTGTGAAAGCTGCCGGGGCAACCCCTGAAGCGCCTTGTGCAACCATGTCTCACTGGCTAATGTGTGTCGCAGCTTGAGCAACGCACCGCCAGCAACCTCGCCCAGGGCAGATGGATCCAAAGATCGCTGCTCACTAAACCCCTACAAGAGCCACAAGATGCGCTACGGCCCTGTTGTTTAAGAATCTTGCATCGCAAGACCCCTATGCCCTATGCCTTCTTGCAAACCCTAAGCCAATTCCCAAATTCCTCGATCCTAAACCGTGGACACTTTCAGAGGGCCCCGAGGGTGATCCTTTGTGAAGGAGGTTGTTGGGTGTCTCGGATGCCTTTGGCTCAGCTGCCTGAAATTCAGTCGCACGGGGGTATGCTCCGGGAAGGGCTGTGGGCGACAGTTTGAGGTGTTTTGCAGGCATGGTCATGGAGCCAGATTGAGTCTTCTTTTGATGCTACGGATTCTATCTTCGAAGCTGCTCAAGAGCAGCTGAAGGGGGTCTCTAGGGCTCTAGCACTCTACTGTAGGGCCTTAGTTGGCATTGTAATTGTAAACGCTTGCGCGGGCCGCCTCGGCAGCCGGGCAACAGCCAAATGCGTGCATTTTGGAGCGCCCCCCCTCTACAGGAGCCCCCGACAGGCCAAAAGGGGGGGGGGGTGCGTCACAAAATTTGGCATGGGGGGGGGAAGGGTTGGGTTACGGATCCATGTCTGCTTGTTCCAAACGCTTCTCGGCAGGAAGCCGGGCGAGTTTTTCTCAGGATCAGTGCAAAAGGATCTTCTGCAACTCAGCCGGGAGCATACGGAGAATTCCCGTTTAGGGGGTTCCTTCATTACTCTTACCAGGCTTACCAGGCTTACGATCGTCCTTGCTAGATTGTTATGTCTTACGTCTTTCTGTGCTGTGCTTCACTGATGCCTCGTCATGATCCTGCAACGATCTTTCCATGCAGCGCACAGTATCCGTGTCTTGTCACGCAAGGTGCGAAAGCATAATTAAGAGCCAAAGGCTCACAAGGCCACCTTCTCGGTGTGTCTCGCGGGGAAAGAAGTCCGCCATAATCCTTGTCAATCTCCAGACCGTCCAGAACCCCTCGACCCTAACGTAGTTGAATCTCCACATTATTTCCGTCGATTTGCAGAGGGTTTGCAACCCTGCGCGGCATTTCGGCTGCAGTCATGGAGGAGATCCATGTGGGAGTGCTTGCAGTCCGGCGTAGTTCTTTGCCATAGTTGCAGCCGCTGACAGTTTCGCCAAGTGTGTCGCCCAGACCGTTCCATCCTACGCCTCTTTGCAATTCGGCAGCTCATAGGCGTCGCTACGAGTCCCCTGTCCAAGTAAAGTCGTAGATATTCGTGGTCTGAGGCCTCTGTCATTTTTGAATGTTGGGATTCAGGACTTTGGGAGCACGCTTTCGTACTGTTGTCGGCATGGTTTCTTATTGAAAGCCAGCTCGTGCTTTCCCCCCACCTCTACTTGGCAAATTCAAAGTTCTCTCCGGAAAGGAGAATTCATCTGCCGACCTTTTTTCTTTGTCCGACGTGAGCAGTCAAGCTGGCAACCTAGAGTCTTTCGGGGTCCATACTGAGGAATCACAGTGCTGGGCCGCAACATACTATGAGAAAGGACCTGAAGCCCACGGGCGTTGTTCAGCCCTGATGGCGCGAACTTGTCCATGCAGACCCAAATCCATTGTAGGCCCCAGACTTACTAGCACTGTCACAAACCTTTCACGCGCCCAGGGGGCGGCTGCCTAATGGCTGGGCCAAAGGACCCGCAAGATTTCTAAGATCGGTTTTGTGGGAACTTTCGGGCCTTGCATATATGTACGGTTTAGACTAGGCTAGACTCATCCCCACAATTCGGGGGGCATCGAGGTTACCGAGGTTGAGATGGCCGGGCAGGTTCCCAGGCCACTAGCTCCCAAGCGCAGCACACGAATCATTGCGAACCCACAGTTTTTGGGTCCCCGACGTAGCCGAGCCATGTGCAGGACCTCCTTTTCCAGGGGCTTCTTGCCATCGCCTTGCTTTGGGCGGTGCATGTGGGCCAAGAGATCTACAAGGAGCTGGGCTTCAGGGCCCCAGGTCGGGGGGTTTAGGGCCGTGCATCCGATGTTTGACAGTCCTGTGACCGAAATACGAACAGCAGATCCCTTAACTCTCAGAACTTGTAAAATTGGGAATACATGTCCTGGTTACGCAGCTTGAGGGTTATATGGATAGCTTTCGAGCTTCTGCGGCCGATTACTGAAAGCCATGTTTCAGCAATCTCGGTCATCTTCTCTCTCTCTCTCTCTCTCTCTCGCTCTACACTGATAAACTAAGTAACTGGCCAACTAACTGACGAAACTAGTTGTACAAGCAGTGAAACCAAGCCCTGAAAGCGATTTACAGGATGCCACCACCTGAATGAGCCGGACCGTGGGTATCATGAAGCAATGAAGCAATGGTCAGGCCATGAAGATCGAAGCACTTGAAGCTGCTCGAAACCTCCAACACATCTCCAGCCGACTCCTATGACATGTGCTGTTTTCTCAGGAGAACCGAGCTCGAGAGCTGAAGAAGCCAGAGGAAAGTTCTGTTTGGGGAGTCAGGGTGTTGGGGAGTTTAGATTTGGTTGCATCGCATGGCACGCTGCTGCCCATGTTGGTTGGACTCGGGTGGTTTGGTCATCAGGTCCAGTTTACTTGTTAGGCCGCGTCTCCAACACGGGACCGTTGAAACCAGTTTGCCCTAAGTGCAAAGTTGCAAAGCCCAAGTACCTTCCAGTTTGAACGTTCTGGAGCCACAAGCACCTGTGATCCCCTGCCTTAGCAGCCGTTGCATCGGCCCAGTCTTCGTCCTGCAGCGGCCAATGCCAGCCTCGATTCCAACTTGCTACTTGCTACTTCCAACCCTGAACCCGCAAAGCCCTTTGCACTCTTTGTACTCTTTGTACTGCGCATTGAATTACAAGAGGCCTCGACGTCGACACCCGGCAGAATAGGTCCTGTAGAACATCGTTTGAAGACATCCCAACCTGGAGCATCTTACGCACCTTTGAGGCCCTGGTCCTCAAGGTGCTTGCGGTGATGACTAAAGGGCCAAAGGGTAATTGAGGTTTGAGGCTTGGTGTTGGGATAGTTTAAGGTCTTCGGGGCTGTAAGCAACTGCAGCCTGAGCAGGCAGCGGGGCGAACCCAAGATGAGCTGCTGCCCCTGGGGCTGCATTTGTCTTAGAGTCCTCAGTAAACCCTAAGCCGGATATAGGCCGATTCCACAGCCCCAAGTTCAAAAGCACCCCAAAATCCAGGACATCCAGGGAGTGTGTCCAATGGAAGGGATCACCCACTGATGCTTCAGGTGTTGATGGTGTTGAGAGCTTTGAATGCGAGGGCCCAGCACATCCCAGCGTTCTGACACATGATAACACGCTGAGATCGCGAGAGGAAAGGTGGCTTCAAAAAGGCTCGATGTACGTAGTTGAAACAACATGGGTCTCTTGAGGGACCACCAACACCCCTCCTTAAACTCCAACACCCTTGAAGACCTTGAACCCTAGAACATTCCCGTAGATGCCACGTCTATCTTAATCACCCCCAACACGTGAGATCAGCCCTGATGTACTGCTTGCTTCTACTCAAGTAGCTGTCTTTTCCAGGCAGGGCGCGCTGCGCTTTGGAGGCCGGCGTTCCCCGGGGCGTGTCGCAGACACCACAAGTTCAAAGGCTGAGGATAGGGGAGTTTGCTATGGGATTGAGCAAGGTTGTCACGGACTTGGGCTTGTAACACAGGCTTTAGGAGGATTCAGGTGTGCAGCGTGAATTGCGTCATTTCAGGACTCTTGCGACTGACAGTTCGGATGTGGGGCCATCCCTGCGTCACTGGATTTCCCTCCCCTTCCCGACACACTACATGTATTTATGCGATGTAGACATTTCAGGAGATAGATGGATGGACCATCATCGAGCTGTGCTGAGTTTAGGATTTTTGCCTTTTGGGCTTTGCTTATGGCGCTTGCCAGTAGGGTGCACCAGAACGCCGGCCCACACCTGGAGCGCAGTCTGGAAACCGGCGCGCCCCAATCCGACAGCGCCCAAGCACCCTGACGTCCTGACCGCCTTTTGGGAATACAACGCTTCGGGCCCAGGGAGTAGTAGAGCAGGGCTTTAGACTTCAGACCTGCCGAGAAGCAGGCATGCTGGTGGCCCAGCTGCTGTTCAGGCACCTTTTCGCGGTGGTCGGGATCCCGGCTTGGCCCCAGCTTGGCAGCTCACAAGTTTGGTCACCGTTTGGCAGGTAGAGTGCTTCAGGGAGGTGACTCGATTCCGAATTAGGCGTGTCAGCCTTTCCAAGATATGTTGCTAAGCGTTGTAGCCCTAACAAGCCTCCCAGCAAGTCAAGTATCTGCAGCAACAAGGTCCCAAGAGTTGGGTGTGGGCTTGCGAATATTGCTCAAACAAGGGTCCTGGTGATTTGTACCTTTTGCAGCGGCTGAAGTTTTAAATGCGGCCGCGGACTATTGCTTGCCGGTTTGTTGATTCTGGAACAGCTGGCATGGCTATGCCAAGATTGACAGACAGGGATCAGGTACTTTGCAGGGTGTTCTGAAGCTTTTCCCAAAGACGACCTCCAGTGTTGAGTTCGTGAAAACTTGCTCTGTGGTCTTTGAAGGCTTTGGGTCTAGGGATGTCTAGGGAGTCTAGGGTGGCTCAGGTTGCACGGGCCATGATTCCGAAGAAGCCTCGCTGGTCATACCAAGTGTGGGGCGCAAAGGCCACGTGCTCATTTCATCTATACTGGTGGCCTGACACGGTTTGTGAGGGTGTGCTCAGGTTTCAGGCTGCTGGTCGGGATGTGTGGGTTTTTGTGGATTCGGTTTTAGGATAGCATGCTTGAGTCTGGCATTAGAGGGCAGTAGTAGAGGAGAGCATACACTCGAAGACCTTTCAGAAGCTCCGACAAGCAGCTGAACTAGAGCGATGCTGTAGCGCTGCATTTGGGAGATGATTGTTTTGCGTTGGCGCTTTCAGGGGGCGGGGGTTCGGAGTAGGGAGCTGCAGCTTGGTCCGTCAGGTCACGCGTTGTTGCGACTCGATCTTCAAGCGCTTCCCTCGGTTCTGCTCAGCTTTCGTTGCGAGCTTGGGCTTGCGGGCTTGTACGCGTCTTGAAGCTTGAATCCGGTCATCAGATGTTGGCTTTCATGGCTGTGTCAACCGAAACATGCACAATGCCCGTAACGAATCGCACCCCTGTCTTCTTTTATCATTAGCCACAACACCTGCAAACCAATGCCGGCAACAAACTGTGCCCCTTGCTTGGTGTGTGCTCTCGCAACATACTCAATCCTGCAACACAAGGACGTGGTGTACGACTTGTTACGGGCACGAAGCTGTGCATGCGGTGAAATCACGAACAAGACACAGGGTACGATCTGTTGCGGGTATTGGGTTCTGCATGTTACACGCAATATACGCAACACATGGGTCATGACCGTTCCAAAGCCACCATTGAAACCCTAGCAAAGTGAGGTGGAAACGGCCAAATCTTGTTCGCCTGTGCGGCCCATGCGCTCTCTGTTCGCTTCTTCTTTACATTGCTTGAATGCGTTTTGGGAGTTTTCCTGCAGGATGGGCTGGTGGCCACAGTGGCCACACTGGCCTCACTGAGTAGCATGAAGTCCACGATCGATAGGTTGGTCATGGAAACACTTGCTGACCCAGGCAAGTGTGCCCACTAGTCAACCTAGGTCGATGCTGAGAGCAGGCCAAGCGTCAAATAGCGAGAACCCTGACCAGCTCGGGTCAGCCACAATCAGCCACAGCTCACACTGGGGTTGGTGGAATCCGGCAATTGAAGTTCAGAAGCCTCCAGGTGTTGCTACTACTGCGCTATGACTACCTGGTGCTTTGCCTTGCTCAGAGGCGTGGAAAGTAGGCAGATGTGAACATCCCTCTACAAGATGTCGTGAAACTTCTTTCCGCTTTGAGGGGAGGGTGCTGGCGCTTCGGTGACCTTGCAGTCTGAGGGTCTAGACAGGGAGATGCAGCAACAATGTGTTCAAATGTATTCAATGTACCGATAGGTTCCTTGCCATGCTACGTAAATTGCCCACCCAAGTGCTCCGCCGGGTGTCAGGCTCAGAGTTCGAGGGGTCGAGGTTTCTTCTTGATGCGTTCGGGTTGACACCTCTGTTCGTGTGCAGAGGATTTTCAATTGAGAGCGGTTCAATGTGTTCAATGTTCACGTGGACTTGACATTATCTTGGGGGCCTCAAGGCGGGGTAAACGCCACGAGCCGGCTCGGACTTGGCCACGGGATACCCCGTTGCGGGAGCTGCAAGAAAAAGCTGCGGCACCTTGTAAAAACGGCATAGCAGGTGGGCGAACAGGGACACACTGAGAGACTCCAATCAGAGGCAGTACACAAATCAGGAAGACGAAGCTCCCCCCTTCTAATTCTTCTAATTATCGCAGATGCGATCAAGACGCAATCTCTAATGGCGGGCTTTGCCCCACGGCAGCTTCTCCTTAGCCTCACCACTCGTTCACTCACTCTTCATCCATGAAGGAGACGAGTTCAGAGTGCCGGTTATGTCGGTGTTGTCTTGAATGCTGCTTGAGATCTGCTAGAGACAGTATACTCGAAAGCCCCAGTCCGAAGACCGCAGCTCTGTGACAGACCAGCCATACCTGCCGCGGTTGCTGGGCGGCAGCGGGGACACCCGAAACTGCTGGCGCGGCTATCCTTTCCAGGCTGGGGAATGGCGTACGTCGTGAACTAGTGGTTCTACCAAGACATTTTACAAGTCCTAGCTAAGCCAGCTAAGCCGGGAGGCTGTGGGTATAGGAGTTCAGTCTTTAGTTCTTGTTGTTTGGTTCTCTGTAATTGTCTGAGTCTTGGCATTCTAGCATGGACAAAGTCATGAGTCACGAATGTTCCTTTTGTGTCTTGAAGGCTCTCTTTTGCTCAAAGAGGCAAATTTGTAAAACAGGCCATGCCGGCTCACCACTCACCCGCCCTTTGCCCGTAAGAGCATCATGGTCCATGCCCGAGTATGGGATGGCAGTTAGACAGCTTGCAGCTTTCAACCTATACAAGTCTTCGTCCAAATTGAAGCTGCTACACCCAAATCTACAGAAGATCCCTTTTCATTCAACGGCTTCTAACAAGCCCTCGACATGAAACGCAAGTGCTAGAGGTCGCGAATCCCCCAACGCAGTCCCAGCAGGACATCCCCTCAGAACTCTGCAGCTTCTACCTGACTGCAGTGGGCTACCATCTCAGTGAGGCTCCGTAAAGTTTCACAAGTTCAGGCTCTGGGAGGTGGGGTTGCTGGTAAACTTTGCTTCCATCGGCGCAGCCGTGTGCCTTTATAAGGGCTGCGCACATCGACTCCCACAAGACCACAAGACTAAAGCTCTGCGGTGTGGCAAGAATGTTTGGAAGCAGACAGAATCATGGGGCTTACGGGGTTTGGAGTTGCGGTTTCTGCTGCGGCCTGGGGATGCAGGATCACAACATTCCCTCCATCTTGTTTGTCTTTTCTAATAGCGTCTAAGCCTAAGCTGTCGGTTTGGGGTTTAGGGATGTTACGAGTTTCTGGTCTCGATCGGCAGGTGGCCATGCTGCTTCTAGAGGCCGCGCGCTGTTTGGTCTCGTTCGAAATGGTCCCAGCAGCTTCCTGGACCCTGTGGCGACACCTACTTTCACAAAGAAACGTTCAGAATGTCAAGCCGACGTGACAAAAACCGAAGCAGTTGTCTGCAAACTTGAGACACCGAATCTGAAGAAGACCTGGGTCGGCTTAAGGACTTGGTTGTTCCAATCAGGAGCCCAGTCTTTCTTGTTCCCTGGGTACAAGATGTAGAGCTTGGCGGGGGAACTTGGAGGATTGGGGATGGTTGCGACGGCTACACTTGAGTTGCAGGTCAGGCATCCTGATTTTTGGGAGATGCTGCTCCACCACATCGTGACGTGGACACCCCAGCGTGGGGCGGTGATGACGGTGATGACAGACATTCTCCAGTCCGCATCTACACAGGTAGCTACAAACCCCATCCAAGGCTGTCCTAGAAGCCGCTTTGAGCGTTCAGGGTTTTGGGGATGTTTGGCGTCGGGCGTTATGTTTCTCAATGCTTTGCATGTGTTGCCCCATGGAGTTGCAACACAGTGAGTTTGCAGCGTGCGTTCCGCAAAGATAGCCCCGGGGTCGGCAACTCTGAGAAGGCGTGCGCAATGCGCAATCGCAAAAGAGCACAAAAGGAGCCCACAAGCCCATGACCACCACAACAGCCCTTCTAATCTCACAAACGCACTGGCGGAGGTGTTGCCTGGTGGTTTTCTCCTACGGACTTAGCTACGTTCGCCGGGAGCCCAGCCTGCTGCAAGCATGGCTTCAAAGTTTGGGGGCACAGGGTTGAGCTTTATGCTTTCGCTGAGGACTCAGAAGCTCCAAACAACCTTGAGTTGTTGAAGCCTATTCCCCTCAACACATCTCGGCCCCCCATACACTCTAGATACTGGACCAAGCGGTGGCCACCTAGCCGCCGAACGTCCAATCCAAAGTGTAACATGATCGCACTCTCCACCCCAAACCCCCAGAGCTCTGGAAATTCTGTTCCCAAAAGTTCCCACCAGCTAATCGAAGGATGTCGAAGGATGTCGAAGTCTTTCCGCGCTTTGCTACCAGAATCATGTCAAAACAGACTCGGCAAGGGGACTTTTTTCGGCTGCAGGGCTCCTATTCTATGCGATCTATTGTGTTGTACTGTCTTCAAGGCTTTCATGCTTCCTGGAGGCATCGGCAGCCTGGTCTTGCTCCTGCACGGGGTCACGGACATCTTTGTCTACCTTTCGAAGGCAAGGGGCGGTGCCTTAAGTGCCTCAAGATTAGCGGTTCTGAGAGGCTTGAGCCTCAGCACCCGTCGACCCAATGAACATCCCAGCATGGCAATCCATCCTGTCCGTCAAGTGGTCACAAGTTGCTCATTGCTCATGTTTCAAATTTGTTGCACTGTCTGTTCGCCCTTGGGTTTTGACATTGTGAGCACTAATTACGGCCGACACTGCCACAACCTGGCAACAAGAGCGCTCACACCCGGAGCTTACGTCGGACCTTTTAGGGGGCATTGTAGTTTGTTTGAAATTACATGTGCGGAGTTGAAGTGGAACTTCATCTGCACAGATCGAACCGACGGCATAGCAGCCGGAATGCAGATCACAACAGTCCCTTATGCAGAGCTGCAACTCTGGCAGGCATTGGTCGACACGCCCAACACCCGATGCATAGTTGCTTCGTACTTCACGTTGGTGGCCTCTTGGCCTGATAGGGGAGAAGTGGAGAAGGGGTGCAGAAGGGGAGGCTCGGGAGGCGCCAGGCTTTTTTTTTGGGCACTTTGAGCACCTGGATCTGCTAGCATTACATAGTGTACGGCATACGGTTGTTCCCTATTCCCTGAATAGGTCGCCAAGCTCAAACTGAACCCGACTCTGTACTCATGTATCTCATGCCTCATGAACCTGACACATAAGGTGCCATTAATTAGACATCATGTTTCGGTCAGGAGGTACTATCAGCCCGAAACCCTAACCAACCCGATCCAACATCCAGGACCTCGAAGTCCTAAGACTCCTAAGACTCCATTTCTCTCAGAACTTCACTTCAGGAGCCCCGAAATCCTAGAAGGTCTTCGATGAACGTGAGTCCGGAGCAGCCTAAGACCTTGAAGCCATGACCCAGCAGCCGAAGGTCTCCTATGTTTGGCCTGCCTGGCACATCATTCTACTCTCTTGTGGCGGCGTTGTAGGATCAATTTGTGAAAGTTCCATACAGGATTCTGTTGAGGTGGCGTGGGAAACTCGGTAGCAGTTGTCAGGCTCATGAGAACTCATGAGAACCCTTAGACATACTGAGTGAGATTTCGGAAAACCTGCAGCGCAAGAGCATGCAATAGCCTTGTTTGTGGGCGCCATGTAGACGTGTATATTGGTCCTGCTACGGAGCAGCCATGATTGATTGCAGTCAAGAGCTGAATAGATTGAATAGACCAGCAACCTCCAGCACCATGAGTCTTTGTTGCTTACTACAAGTCTTGTTGCTTTGTCCCCAACTCAATCCAGAAGTCATACTCCCAGACGCTTGAGAGCAACACCATGGTGAAGATCACGTTCGTTGTGACCAGATCCGGGTTGCCAGGTTTAGAATCATCGTCTTCCCAATGTCCATCATGAGGAGCGTCTGGATGGAGAGCATTCCAGAGGCAGGACGGCCATCGGCGTGCTCACAATCTGTTGAACGATGGGATGCAGGAGAACCATGACCAGGAAGGATCCCACAAATTCACCAAACCATCGACTCTGAGCCCACATTCAGACGTGCAGTCTTGCAGTGTCTCGTTGCTTTAGCTGTCGAAGCAATCTGCATCATTACATGTACTGGACGGGCTTGAGGCACTATGCTTATGACATATAAAAGTATTCCTCATAGCACAGCTGCGTTTAGATTTGCGTTAAAACTCATTAATGTAAAGCGAACTTATCGAAAAAAATCGGCTGGGTTTAGGTGGGGGGGGGGGGGTGGGAGGCGGACAATCAAAAACATCGAAACAAAATGCAGAAAACCAAGAGGCAAACAGGCTGAAATGCTCGCGGGCCCGGAAAGTGAATGAACAAATTCATGTAGAAATGCAACATCATGAAGGACTTCTAGCCCATATGTGATGGTTCTTACTACTTCTTCGATTTTTTTGATGTTGTTTTGGATTGGAGGTTCATTGTTTTAAAGGCTATATCATGACACTAAAGCACGTATCTGGCTCGGGCTGGTGGCTTCTCCCTTCGTCTCCAAGAGTCCAGAACGGTCTTGGGTTGAAATTCGGTCGGCAGCTGTGCAATCTGACAGCCCGTTGTCCCGTTGTGTTTTTGCTTTTTTCATCTATCAAAAAGGATTTCAGTGAGCCTCACGAGCTTAAAGTGAATTCAGAGCTCGCAACCAGTGAAACCTTCGTGAGGTTTGGATCTAGAACTCCTGTAAGTATAAGGGCAGTATACGGCATTCCAAGCTAGGAAAAGGGATGCGATGCATTATCATTACACCGCAGCAACGCTGCGCAGGCCAGCCCCGAACGAGTCGTCTCATGGGGCTTCATCAATTTCGGCCTGGTCGGGAGCCGGGAATGGAGAGTGTTGCTTTCGGGTTAGATTGAGCACTTTCGTGGAGCACTTGTGTCTCACTGTCTCACGATAGCCTTCCTTTGGCTTTGCCACAAGCAAGTAGCAAGGAGGGGCTCAGAGGTTCAGGTTCAAAGGATGTTTGGTGTCGTGCTGCTCTCAGGATTGTAGACCACAGCCAAACCCTCAAGCGCCCTCAGACGCCACTATCCACTCCTCACTCCTCTGTGCAAGAGCAGTTGGTCGGGAGGGCCTTCTTGGATCCGGAGATTTCTTTCTTTTTGGCGAACCTTAGGAATTGTTGGTTGGTTGGTTGGCTTTTGGGACTGGGCAGTTTTGGGCAGGCAAGGCATCTTGGATGTTTGGTGCCTCGCGGTCGCCCCAAGCTGTCCAGTCCTGCACCATCCCGCACCTCTGTTGTTGGTCCCCAGGGTGGCAAGCTAAAAGTCAGAGACCAGCTCAGAGTGGTTGGGAACGTTCGTTAGTTTGACTTTGCGGCCTTGATGGATTGTAAGTTTTCAAGGCTTGACTTTGGGGGGTGGGTGTCTTAAGAGCGCAGAAGTTCGTAGTGTTTTCGTGCGTTGCTTTTTGGTACACCTTGCAGGGCAGAGCTTTGTAGATTGGCCTATGGACAGCAATTCTAGACGGTCCAGCTAGTTTGTTTGGATATTCGTGGTTCTTCTTTCTGCAGTTTGGAGCTCCTGGCCATGCCAGTTCACCCTCTTCCTGCTGCACATGTATTGGTTTGGCATGATCATCAAGATCGGCACCCACTACAGGCATCAGGGAGTGTGGATGTCAAGTCGTGCAGTCTCTGTGTGGCTTTTCCATGAGTTCATTAGGCAGCTTCAGACAGCAAAAGGAGATCATGGGTCGTGTATCCGGAGCCGAGTCCTGCAGAAACACGGCTCTTCATCACTCTTCATCTGGTCTCTCAGCAAGCTGCCTTTGACCTGTGACCCTCGCAGGCACCATGCAGTGCGCGGACAACCAGAAGCATGCACATTCCCGAAACCTTAAAACTAGAACGAAACTTGCCTACCTTCACCATGCAGAAGCCATAGCTGAGCCAAACACCAGAGCAACTGCACCTGATGCAGATAAAGCCTGAATGCCACCAGGCAGACGGGTCAAGCCAGAGACCTTCAGTCGAACCTCTCATCTATGGACCCGCATTGGGTTGGGGAGCTTTGGGATGGCTTGTTTGGGGTGCCGCTCGCTGTATAGATTGATTTGAGGACCCTAGCTAAGTTCTATATGCAGGGCTGCTGCAAACTGCTGCGCGGGGATGATACCTGCGCTGTCGGACTGGGCATGCACCCATGTGGATAGGCACTTGAGCACATATTGCCGTTGCCACCGTGCGAAATATTGCCGACAACACCTCCGAGAGCGTGCAGGACATGGACAAGAAGCGGACGTGAGACGACAGGCGCAGCAATGCCTGCAGGAGAGACAGGCACTCCAAGTAAAGCAGCGTGAAGAGTGTAGCTGTCGGGTACTGTGCAGCGTATGTGGTGTCTGACTGTACTTTACATAATGGCTCAATGTTTACGTTGCATGTTTTGGGCGCAGGCTTTCAGGATCAGGCCGAGTCCAACTTCCTGTAGCACCTCAAGTGCAATTGTTTTGTGTTAGTTGAGTCCGTTGGGCTTGTTTTGGCAAAGGTGAATGACTGACAATCGTTGTGCCTTCTCTTTTCGGCAATCGAAGAGCCAACAGGTACCTTTTTTGGCGTTTCCCTCGCTACTTATCAAGGGCGACGTCCGAAGCTCATGCTCGAGACGCTTTGATCTCGAGCCGGGTTTTGGACGGGAATACCGCTTTCTCGCTCCAAGGCGAAATTGAACAACAATCAAGAAACTCCGAAGAAATGGAGAAGAGGACGGCATCGTTTTGAAGCGTATGTTGTTCGATGCTTTCAAAGCGACACTGCAAAATACAGTAAATACAAGTGAGTCGAGTGTTTGAGACGCCCGCTCAAGCCAGCAGGGAGTCCCACCGAATATCCCGCAGAGCCCTGCCAAGATTTTCTGGAGTGCCCACCCACAGAGAAGCCAGTAGAATGTGTAGAATCCCACCGAGTATTACTGGATTGCCTCCCCACAGAGAAGCCAGCAGAGAATCGCCTGGAGTGCCCACCCTCAGCGAAACCTGTAAAATGTCCGAAAATGGGAGAATGGCTACCACATCGCTTAGCTGCAGGGTGGGATGAGAAAAAATGTTTCTTTATGTCAATCTTCTTGCAGGTTTGGTAGATGTCGTTTGTAACGGTCAGTGTCAAAGCTAGAGCATCTGCCTAGACTTCCCCCAGCCATTCCAGACTTAACGAAAAAGTTTGCTTCAGGCTAAGGCTGGCGCTGCTGTGAGGTCGGAGAACTATGTCTTGCGATGCAGCGACCCTCCAGCCGATGATAACTTCAGCCATTCTGCGAAACGCTGCAGTCCACCAGTTTCGCGAGTAGCCATGAGATCAGCATCCCAAGTTGCCTGAAGTGCTGAAACACGTTCAAAATGTTCATGGGAACGTTGTAGACCTGGGAGAACAGCATTCCTACATAGCCTGTAAACACTCGATCCCCCGCTCGAAACCACTGCTGTTTCGGATCCCCTCACTAGAGGTGGGAGACACTTTCGGGTGTAGAATGAAGAGGTAACTGCAAAGGCTGCATGTCGACCGCTTCGGCCCAGCCAACCTCCAACACCCATTAAGGCTCTACACGGAGTTCGCGTTGGATCGATAGTGCAAGGGGCTTTTGGGCCCAGGGTCATGTTTACCGCTTTAGGTTTGAGGGAGTTTAAGGGGTCCTGCGTCCTTAGGGAACGCACCCAACTGCATGCTGTAGCTGCACCTACGCCCATCCGTGCCTAACTGTTCGGGGGCGACTGCAGCAAAATTGGAGCGGCTGAGCTCTTTGGCTTGTAGTCTTTGCTGGGTAGCCGGACTTGGACTAGGTTGAATTTCGTGTCTTCATGAAGCTTTCTGTACTGGGCAAATCTCTTGCCCGAAAAGCATTTGACCCTACAGCCACGCAAGGCTCTGCACGGCATCAGTGCATCGGAGAATTGGGCCCAACGTATAGAGTCCGAAGATGCCAAGTGCCAGACTAGGTTAGTAATTAGTAGAGTATCCAACCCAAGCCCTACTGAACTTTGCTGCAGGTGCAGGCCTGTACCTCTGCCCAAGGAAAGAACGGGTTTAAGGTGTAGGAGAACCTGTGCCAGCCTGTACGGCAAAGGGTCGAATTATTCAGCATCTCAACCCGGTGCCCCTCACAGAGGTGGAACGTCTACATAGTGTGATGTCTGCTATGCAAGTTAGCTCGGGCCAGGCCATTCGGCTCATATTTGCACAAAATTCAACAACCTCTCAACCCTTTCAACCCTCGCCTACCCAGTCCTATCCTCAACCCCGGAAACACGGACTAACGATTTGAGCCAGTATAGTATTTCCTGCCACACCGGTCACGTCACCTCTGCTTCAGCGAAGCCTTTGAGAATGGGCAGAAGAAGGGCACAACATGGCACAACATGGTACAACATGGTACAACATGGTACAACATTGTACAACCTGCATCAGCAAGCCTGAGACCTGTCTCTGCTGGTACCTTGCCAGAACCATGGCTGTCACCATCCACAGGCCGCTTGTCACGTCCGCACGCTTTCGGCCAAATTTCGGTTCCGCACACAACGTAACACAGTTGCTGTCAAAGTTTAGGGTTTTTGGGCGTTCACACCACAGGTCCAAGCTATAGATGTTCCGACAGTCGACAGCTGAGGCAGGCCCAAAGCCATCTAAAATGCATCAAACTCTGCAGCGTCCTTGAGGTGATGGACTTTGATTTCCCCCCCGCCCGCCGCAGTCTCAGCCGCCCTTCTTTGTTGTGCAGGTATTTCTGGGTGTTGCGGGGGTTCACCCTGGCACATGGCCTTCGTAAACTGCAGTAATGACCTCAAGGCTGACCATTGTGACCATTGTGTTTCAAGGCAGCTGGCACTGGCATTGCACTGGGTTTAATTCTTCTGAAAATTCTGCTTCTGTGCGCTGCGCATGCTCGTTCCGTGCATTTGGCTTGCTCTCTTTGCCTGTGACTGGATCTGTGGGTTGCTGTTATAAGATTCAAGCCCGTGGGTGATAGGACTGCAAGCTGGGCTTATGCCTTCTTGGTGTGGCTTTCCTTTGCTTCAATGGGCGTATTGGCCGGAGCAAAGCACAAGCAACAAATGTACCTTTCGCTGCTGTTTTGTCACCAGGAACTCGGAGCGATGCGCAACTTTAGATTCGATTTCAAGAGCCTTGAACTGACAATTCCCCAATTCCATGCGTAACTCTCAAGTGATGGAACTCCATAAGTGCGCAACAACACCGAACGACGCGCCTATCCTGGTTGCGCGCCTCAGATCCTGATTCCCGGGTCTTGCAGAGTTTCGGCGCCTAAGATATTTGGGAGTGTTTTTGTAAGCCCTCCAACCCCAATCCCGACTCAGGCAGGTTCAAACTCTGGCGAGGGGCGTACTGGGCGAGTCTCGGGACCTGGCATACATTGTTGAAAGGTTCAGGTTGACCAAGCTTGGGTGTGTTTCTTGCCATCTCAGTAAGCAGTAGAAATAGCGGGAGGTCAGGATGCCGTCACGCCTTTGTCCAACCCTTGTGCAGCAACGACCTTTGGGACGTCCTCCGACCTTGAAAGTCTTTGGAATGGCTCAGGGCTTTGTGATTCGCCCTTCAACAGGGTGGCCATTGAAAAGCACCCTGAGAGATCTCAAAGTTCCTATCAGTCTCTTACACAGTTTAGAGAAGCCCCCCAGCCTTTCTAAACTTTCTCTAAACTTTCAGAGCAGCTTTGGATCGAGGCCCTGCTCTGAGCGGGCTCCGCCTCAGCCGCGCGGGAGCCGAGGGTGGAAGGACCCGGAAGCGGAAGGGCTGCAAGCGGTTCTGGGCTTTCCGGGCTTGTGCTTTTCGCTTCCATGTACTAGCCGCCAGCTGGAGAGTCGCAGAAACATGCGTGGCATATACAACATCCGGAAAAGCATCTAATCGTCTAATCTCTGCAAACCCAGCTCCAGGCGCTATGTGAGGTTCAACGGCTCGGTGTACAAGCAATCTTTTCAGGCGTTCGTTCTTCTTAGAGTTTGGGATGGGATGTCGGCGTGTCAGCTTCTTTCGAAGTTCATGGGCTTAGGGCTGAGTGTTGGAACTGCGAAGTTATGGCAGAGGGCCCTTGGGCTTCAGGGACCTACTCCGCTCTGCTTGTGATTCGCAACCTTCGGGCATATCGCATTTGACCTGGTTTGGCACATTGTTGGCACATTGTCAAAATGTGAAGCAGGAGCTCCCTTTTGGATGACCCAGCCTTTTGGGGAGCTGGGCTCCCAGCATTGTGGGAACTGCTTGGAGTTCTGGATTTGCACAGCCTGCAACTGCCGCAATGTGAATACATCCTTGCAGGCTGCATGCTTACCTAGGAAATCGGGCGCATTACTGGCAGAATGCATCTAAAGACTATGGTTTTTGTGTAGCCGCACCCAGACTGCCAGCTTCGGCTTGACGAGTCAAGGGCTCGCGATTCCTCAGCCCTCGGCTCTAAATCCCTGCTTGCACAGTCGAATTCTATAGCTGCACAACATATACAGAAGCTTCGTGAATCCGGACGTCCAACCTTCAATCCAACCCTCAACATCCTCAACCTGTCAATGCAGGCCCATTGACAGCTCCAGGATCCCCACATGGCCCAATGTGCCCACATGGCCCAGGACCCTCCTCTGCCTTCAGAGCCAAGCCAGAAGGTCGAGAAGGCCACGAGCTCGGACATCCCAGCGGAGGCCCAACATGAGTCATGAAACTTGCGAGTGGAGTGTCGAACATCTGGGGTAAACACATGTAAACACCGTCAGCCAGCCGTTCTTGACTGCGGAACTTTCATGCGCTTCTGCAGCGCGCTGTTGCTGCCCCAAACCGGACCCGGATCCAGAGGATCCAGCGGCCCCCCTAACAGCTCAAAGCCATCTCACTCAAAGCCTCGCCTCGAGAACCTGAAGCCCACCCAAGTAAGCAGTGGAGGTTGTGAGCCACGAGAAGAGCTCTAGCTCTTCTGCGCCTCGCTCAGGCACGGATTCTTTCGAGAATCAGGGTTGCGGTTTCGGGAAGTCCGAGCTGCGACACTCAGAACGAAGCGGCTGTGGAGCTCTGCAGCCGCCCCAAGTGCCAGCCGCCAAAGCCGCCAAAGCCGCTGACCCCATGTCCCTGAACCTTGATCCTCCCTGTTTCAAAGGTTTCCGAAGCTAGCGGCAGCTAGCGTCCCCCAACTACTGCCTTCAGACCGCCGGCCGCTCTTCAGCAAGCCTCGCCCGCTCCCGGAGATCCTCTTGAGGCTAGCTTGCAGCTTTGCCATGCTTTGCCCTCAAGGGCCGGTTGCTCATTGGC